ACTCGCGGTTGCCCCCCCCCCCCCCACGGCGTGGTAGCAGAGGGACGAGGACCAGGACCAGAACCCATCTGGACCAGGACCCACCAGGACCAGGAACCAGCAGGGCCAGGACCCATCAGGACCAGGACCAACCAAGACCAGGACCCATCAGGACCAGGTAACAAACAAGTAGTAGAGGACTTGAAACTCTTGATTTTTCGAAAACAAGAGTTTCAAGAGAACATAGCAAACCCTCTTTCGATGCTCGCTTAACGACATCGATAGAACTGTGCGAGGTAAAGGGAACCAACCCGGCGTTCACACACATGGCATACCGAGACGCTGATGAGTCGGGCCACGCGGAGGTTAGGGTTTAGTGGGTATTAGGTAGGATCTGTCGCCCGAGAGAGGTAATTTCAAAATAGCCAGTGTAATGACATCGGTGCAGTGGCGGCTCGTGAGGTAGTGCCACGGTGCCATGGCACTACCTTGTCTTCTTCAAAAAGAATATTTTTTTCAATCTTCAATGTTTTACTTTATTTTCTGCTATTTCATTTTTTTTTTTTTTTGTATAAATTATATGAAGTGACAACACTGACAACGTGACAACACCGCAAGCACCCGAACCACGCGAGACGCAAAGCACGCCTTGACCTTGACGTCATCAACTTGTGCCAATTTTGGGCCGGCCCAAATAAAAAGAGAGAAATTTTACTAGCATCGCATACGAGCGACAGAGATAACGCTACCCTACACATTTTTATATGAGCTGAATAGCGAAAGACAAGTATAATTTGTGCCAGGCACATCATCAGTCGTAATTCGTTCTCAAGTGATATCGGCGGTGTTTTTGTTCGGTCGGTCGTTTCGTTATGATTACGTCTAGTGCTGATTTCGGTCTTTTTTTACCTGAAAAGTGAAAAATACCTTTTTTGTTTTAGTACGTCTAGTGTTAATGAACTGCTCTGTTTTGTGATCATATTTTTTACTGTTTTATTAAAACTAGTGAAAATGAATAAAATCGGGATATTAAAAAACTCATTTAGTGGTTTTTCGCTGGATCAAAAACTGCAAATTAAAGAATTAGGACGGCCAATACCCGATTTAAAAATTGAGAAACAAAGTGGTAGCGGACAAAAATCGCGCTGTCGCAAATTTAATAAAAATGTGTACGATAAAAACAGCTGGATATGTGGTTGTGAAGAAACGAATAAACTATTTTGTTTTGTATGTGTTCTATTTGGAGGTGACGAGACTTGGTCAAAAAAAGGTACAGACGATCTTATACATATATGGGATAAAATGAAGACCCACGAAAAATCTAAAGTCCATATGAATAATGTTTTTAGCTTTTCTATTCTTGGTAAATTAAATATAAGGACTCAACTCAATTCGGCTTATCGCAATGATCTAATTAAACATAATAATCAAGTGGATAAGAATCGATATGTATTGAATAAAATTATTAATTGTATAAGGTTTTGTGGAGCATTTGAGTTAGCCTTAAGGGGTCACGATGAAAAGGAAAATTCGGAAAACAGAGGCATATTTAAGGAGCTGGTGAATTTTAGCGCCGAATTAGACAACGAATTGAAAGTCCATATTCAAAGTGCCAAACTTTTCAAGGGTACCTCAAAAACAACTCAAAACGAGCTTCTTGAGTGCATGCTAGATGTTTATCATGAAGAAGTTAAGAAGGAGATTGCAAATTCTCCTTTTGTTGCAGTAATTGCCGATGAAACGACTGACGTAGCCTGTGAATTTCAGTTAGTTATTATTTTCAGATATTTGTGTAAAGGACAACCAGTTGAGAGATTTTGGAGATTTTACGTCCCCGACGGACACGATGCCAAATCAATCGCTGCATGCGTTTTAAATGTTGTAAATCCATTACTAAATCAAAATCCAAACAAATTAATAGCTCAAAGCTATGATGGTGCGTCTGTTATGAGTGGTGAATTGAATGGCGTTCAAAAAATTATTAAGGAAACTTATCCACTTGCAAATTATGTTCATTGCTATGCACACCAGTTAAATCTAATTATGACAAGCGCATGCTCTGTCAATACGCAGGCTAGAATATTTTTCCATAATTTATCTGGATTGTGCTCTTTTTTTTCGACGTCTCCTCAAAGAACAAAAATTTTGGATGAAATAGTTAATTGCAGATTGCCAAGATCTTCCCAAACACGTTGGAATTTTCAGTCACGAGGTGTTCATACAGTTTATGAAAATAGGAAAGACCTGATTGAAGTTATGGACAATATAGAAAGTACTTCACGCGATTCTTCGTCGATTAATCAAGCCAGTGGGTACAAATTAAAGCTGCAAGATACAAATTTTGTATTTTGGCTAAGTATATTCCATAAAATAATGCCACATGTTGAAATTGTCTTTAACCAATTACAAAAAGTATGCACCGATTCTGTTAAGGTCAAAAATGATTTAGAGAATTTTGAAGCAGCAATTCAAACTATACGAGAACAAATGGATAGCATTATTGACGAGATTGAACGAGTGCAGAGAGAAACTGATGAACCGGCAAGAAAAAAAAGGCAAGTTGAAGAAGGCAGCAAAAAACGGGAAGCGCTAGAAATATGCGATGCAGTATTATCGCAAATAAGAACAAGATTTAACTTTTCTGGACATTTAGTTGCTTCTAATTTATTTGTGTCTGAAAAGTTTTCTGTTTATAAACATCAGTTTCCTGAAGCACATTTAAATGACACATGCACACAATTTTCATTTTTAGACAAAAACAGGCTTAAAACTGAGTTACAAGTATTATATCAGAGAGAAGAATTGAGTACTACTTCTGGAGCTGTTCCACTATCCATTTTATTGAACGAGGAAGGATTAAATTGTACGTTTCAAGAAACTCTTAAGCTCTTAAGTATTTTAATCACTATACCGATGTCAACATCTGAAGCAGAACGCTCTTTTTCAATGCTGAAACGGATTAAAACTTTCCTCAGAAACACAATGAAGGAAGAAAGTCTTAGTGCTTTAGGAATGCTGTCTGCAGAAAAACATTTTGTTAGTGGCATTGAAAATTTTAATAATAAGGTAATCGAAAACTTTGCTACCAAAAAAGAAAGAAGAATGGACTTCATGTATAGAAAACTCTGAAGTTATAGGTACTTCTCCACACTTGTTTTATAATTTGGTGCGCGTGTGTAAATAGTTTTATTTTTGATTTTTTTTTTGGACATATAGATTTATTGAACCTCAAGAACTTTGACCACTAACTATCAGGGGTAAGTTATAAGTTATTCTTTACAATTTTGAATCGATTCAAAATTATGGCTTCCATTCTGGCACTACCTCACTGAATTGGCACGAGCCGCCAGTGCATCGGTGGGCAATAAAGTCATCATAGGCATGTATGCAGCCCCTGATCTTTGGGCGTTCTTGAGATAATTGATCGCATAGGTTATTATTGAAAATTTCACTCGTAGATCATCGTAGCTAACTTAATAAGATTAAAAGAGTCTGTAGGTTGCTTACTATGACCTCTATTACTGCAAAAAGGTGCTTTCAAATAAAGTTGTGTCCAGGAGTAAGCGAATAGAAAACATTTCACTATCATACCTAGTTTTAAAGGCAATAGAGCATTTTTCTACGTACGTTGAATCCCTTGAGACTAACAACTAATCATTAAAACGTTATAATATGTCACTCCTTCTTTTGGAAGGGTCTATCTATAAAATATAGATCATTCAGTTTCAAAAAATGATATGTTTTCCATAATTGTATAGATTCTTTCAAGAATATTGATGACATACTATAGTGTTTTGGTGATTGCTTGTTTTCTGCCGCAGATTGCTGCAATGAGAATAGGTATCTGTACACGGAAGTCTCATTTCTTTCTAAAACTGCTTGTCAATAATGTTTGTTAAATGATTATAATTGATCTTGATGGATATTTATATAATATACTATATTCTGTTATGTCACGAAATCAAATAACACATAGAAGTACACCCCAAACATAACATATACATAATATCGTGCCCACCTCGTATGTCGCCGCGTTGCTTGCCTGCCTGGATTGAATACGAAAGATGCAATATTTATAATTAACCCCGTGGCACACGGCATATGCGACCGACTGTCGATCCATGTGGTGAAAATGTCTTTATGTTTTAAGGGCAAATGTATGTCTATGAAATATATCTAATAGGTGCGTACAATTTCCACGGTTATAAGTGTATTAATATACTAACATCAAAAAATTGCGTTAAGCCCTAAACCCACCCTCCTACAATATCTCACTACGCTGCCCCCCTCCAATACTTTACCCCTACATTTTTCTAAATTTGATCTGTATCCTCTGAAGCATCAAAGAACAACGCTTGAGCGATTTTTACTTTTTTATTTTTGGCTGTAGGTCCGCCATCCCTAAACCGATTTTCAAAAACTACAAAGCTTTTTCGACCTTGGCATAGTAGTAACCTTTTGTAAAAATTTCATCAAAGTAGCGGACAGACAGACAGACATTAAAACGCTGAACTATGACATCACGTTAGTCCGCCATTTTGAAAAATAGTAAGTTTCTAGTTATAAAGTACCAATGAGAAGCTTCAAAATACTCTCTATGCCATTTAAAACTTTATCCAAGATGGCGCTAGGCCACCATTCTGAAATGTTCAGCTGTCACTTTTGCGTTAAAAATATAGTATCCATGCACCAATTTCATCATTAAGAATTTCTGCTTGCTGACTTGCCTCGCTCAAGAAATAGAAAGGGATGATCTTTATGAAAAGCTCAATATGTATTTTTCCTAATGAAACCTTGATAGTTTCAAAAAGTTAATTTCACTTTATATTTGAAACCAAGTGATTTACAAAAATTATCAGATAATAAAATGTCCTTAAAATAAATTCCACCGCCAATATTTGCACACTATTTTGGGAGCATCCTTAGGTGTTGCTCGTTTTCGTAACTTTTCAAAAAAATGTGAATACATGTTCAAACAACAAAAAATTATACAAAACCTTTATTTAAAGTAATTAAAAACGTTAAAATATTATTCCATGTCTTTTAAGCTCTTCAGCATGGCTCGTCCTGTATTTTCCGTCGCTGTCATATTTCTTAACCAGCTCCTTCCAAGACTCTGGTTTATTCTTAATTAAGAATTCTGCGACTTTCTTTGCACCAGACTTCTGTTTTTCGTTACATTTGGAACAATCGGTCGCCAAAGCATCAGGTAGAATCTCTGAAAAAAAAATCGAAATCATTTATACTACCCTGGCTCAAGATGGAGCTGAACTATTTCTCTTCAGACTATCTAATCTCCCGAAACCATTTATCTAAAGTTATGCAAAATGCGTTCACCGATTGTGTAATTTCTATTTCTTTGATTCATCGTGTTGTGAATACCTAAACGGCAATAGCTACCGAAATCACGGATATTTTTTTTTATTCTCTACAGACAAAAAATTCAGGTAGCTATGCTCATATACCATATCTTTGTTTTACAGACGCGTAGGTTGACGGAACTTAATAAACGATATAACATCTTTTTATCAATGCCAAATAAATTAGATTGACCAAAAACTATCAAAATGTCAGGAAGTCAGGAAGTTTGAACGTAATTACCATTTTTGCTTTTTCAAATACAACACTACTACAATACTTTCGTCTCTCGGTTATACCAGTATCATTTCATCTCAAAATCATAATGGTATATTTCATGTTATAAAAGATCAGGACAAAAGTAGGTGATATGTTTCTTCGTGAGTAATTAAGATTTTTGGCGAGATTGATACCCTTATTGACATGGGAAGTAAAATATGAATATACACTTAAAAATTTTTACTGGAGGTAGGTAGTTATATTTGAGAGCAGAATATGAGCCCAGTGTAACTATTGTAATATAGCTACAAAAATATACATTTGGCCTGTGTATAGTTATTATAAATATCTAATAAAAAAATAATATGCAATTTGGAAAATCTGGTATTTAATAATTCACTTGATAGCTAATAAAGTCCGTCTGGGTCGTTTTTGCATATTTTGAAACAGAAGAGGCTAAATCAAGTACAAACGACTGCTATAAACAGGTAATAAATAAAGCCGTCCAGGATACAACGTAATAGACATAAAAGATAATGTCATTATATGCTTAAAATTATCTTCAAATTACCTAGCGTATTGGCACTATACATAAAGATGACTCATACGATTAGAAGGTGTGTCAACAGTGCGTTTATCTCATCGCAAATAATGCATCGATACTTAGCAATAAGGATTGGATCATAAAATACAAAATGAAGAGTTTGAAATATAAAAATTGTTTCAGAATAGGTGAAATTTTCACACCTTACAGGTTGGGTAATTTTAAAACTGAACAGTTGATAATCGATGATGTCAAGTTTTGGGCAGAAAACAAGTCTAAAAATATCTAACGTAGAATTTTCATTTCTGAATTGTAAGTTTTTGTGTATTTCATGTAACATAACATAGCCTTGTCCCAATCACCTTATTATGTAAATCTAAACCAAATTCATCAAGCCCCTGAGCTTTTATCTATTGTTTCTTTGAAAGTTTTTTATTGAAATAAAGCTGTTCGAATCTAAATAATTAGTTCATATACTTTTGATTTATTTTACATTAAAAACCTAGTCATTGCTCACAAGAAGTAAGAAATTAGCCAAAAGATCGTATTTTGGGAGGCAGTTTTTGACGATGTTTTTAGTTACACACTTTATATGAGGCATTCAAAAGAGGAATGGTTCAGCACGCTTTTTTGACAATTCAAAGAACTACATATGCGTACATAAGCTTTAGATTAATCCAGTCATGAACAAGCATTTTCTAGTAATCCTTATTGAGCAACATAAGATAAAAATACTTACGCTTAAGTTCTGTAGCATCTCTCGTGCACCGCCCTTTGTCCATGAGGCAATTTACATAGTTTTTCAGTAATCGCTCATTGCTTAAAATTCTATCCAAATCGATGTTATCATATTTTGTTGTGTACTGTTTGCAATTCACTAAAGCTACACTGCAGCAAACCACAAATAAGATAAAACACTTCATTTCTATGCCTTCTTTAGTTATAGTTCAATACAGAATATACTCGTTACTGGTCTTTTTATAGTTAGCCCTAGAGAGTAGTACATTATTTTGAAATAATGGTTCCAGACTTCAGGTTAATGTGTCTTTAATGCTAGGCCTTTAAAAGAAATTAAAAGGATGGCGTCACCGTTCTTTCATTGTTAGCCTAATGTCTTTTGAGTCTTCAATAATTGCATTTGTAAATTAAGGTATTTTTGTAACTCGCACATACCAACACTTTCTAATCTCAATAGTCGCGTATTGACATCGATTTTTAACTTTGCTATAAAGGTCATTAGTCGAATACATTGTATAGAGTATGTACTTACAGGGTGAGTTTTTAATGTGGGTCCGTTCCATCATTTCGTTATTACGCATGGTATCTGAAAAAGTTATATACAAAAATTGTAGCTATTGCTATTTAGGAAATATTTTTATTTTTCGGGGTGATTGAACTACGTGGTGTCCCAAACATACATTTTTTAAATAGAATGCCTTACATTTCCTTGCAGATTTGTATAGGTCATTCCGGACGAAGCGATGTGTTCATCTTGATAATATAAATATGCAGGATGCAGAGAAATAAGGCAATTACGTTAAGGTTTCCTAAAGATTTATTACTTCAAATTCATGTGCACGCTGCACGGAATACCTAAACAGAAGCTTGTAACAATATTTTTCAGAATAAAAAACACGTAGAAGTACGGTGACATCCATTTGTCCATACAAAAAACAAATGGAACTTGATGAATCAGGTTTCCTTGTTCCTTGAAAAACAACAACAAAATTTCCGTAAATGTATATTTAAATGAATAATTAGTATATAGTTAATTTTTCCTTAATCGGTTATTTTTCGATCATTGTAGTCTAATCTCTAAATATTCGTCAACCTATGTACAGGGTGATTCAAAAATAATGGCAATACTTCCTGGGCAGTAATTAGGTCCTATTGAGGTCGAACACTTTCAACTTATCGTTGCCCTGCTAGCGCATTTTTAGCTACATGACGTGTATAATTATACTAAAAGCTATTAAAATATATAAAAACCTACAAAAAAAGAGACTGTAATGAACTTTATCAATAAAAACAACAATAGAGAGTCAAACATTTATATTATATATTTGTAGCGTTTTTCTGGGTTCTTTTGGGTGTTGATTAAAACACTCGATTCCACAAAAAGAAATGCACTAATTTATTTAAAACACAACACAAATAAGTTTAACTTAACTAGATAGAACATTTATGTACACCACTATTTATGTCTGATTACTTATTTACGAATTATTATGTCGCGCCATTCACTCAACTCTACTCTTTTTTTTTTTTTGGAGAGGGGGGAATGCGTTTATGCACCATAGCATAGCCCGAGCTACGGCGTGTGTGGGACTCCAGGTTGTCTTGAGGAGACCACCTAATACCCACTAAGTCCTAACCTCCGCGTGGCCCGACTCATCAGCGTCTCGGTAGGCCATGTGTTGTGCGTGACCTGCGGTCTGCTACAACGTCTCCTCATGTGTTTCAGTCTCTGGGAACGCCGGGTTGGTTCCCTTTACCTCGCACATTCTATCGATGTCGTTAAGCGATCATCGATAGAGGGTCTGCTAGGTTCTCTTGAAACTCTTGTTTTCGATAAAATCAAGAGTTTCAACTCCTCTTACCTATATATTGTTCCTGGTCCTGGTCCTGAAGGGTCCTGGTCCTGGTGGGTCCTGGTCGTGGCGGGTCCTGGTGGGTCCTGGTCCCAATGGGTCCTGGTCCCAATGGGTCCTGATCCCAGTGGTTCCTGGTCCTCTGCATCCACGCCGTGGGGGGGGAGCAACCGCGGGTTCTCCTAGTCTCCTAGTCAAGGTTCCAGTTAGCGGGTGCCAACTGGGACCTTGGTCTAGGGTACCTGGTTCTGCGGTTGCGAGGCCTCTCGTCCGGATCGTAGTCCATGAGGAATCGTAGCTGCTCGTTCGGGTGGTCCTGAGCTTTCTGGAAGGTCTTCTCCGCTTTTTTCCTCATGTACTCGTGAATGGTGTCCCAATGCAGGTCTCTACGCAAGGTTGAGTTTCTTACATAGGATGGTGCACTGGTGGCGATCCGGAATAGCTTCATCTCTAGAGCAGCAAGTCGCTTGCGGTAGCTGGGGGCAGCGTACCCCCAGACCGCGGAGGCGTAAGCGAGCTGAGGTCTGGCGATGGCCTTGATCAGCTGTAGCTTGGTCGCTAGCGGCATCCGGCTGTGTCTACCCAGTAATGGGTAGAGTTGAGCCATGGCTGCTCTGGTCTTTGCGATGACAGCTTCTATGTGGTCTTTCCAGGTGAGGGACTTGTCAAATACGATCCCCAGATATTTGACTTTGTCGCTCCACTGGATATCTTCGTCGAAGATGGATGCTTCTTCGTTGGATGAAGATTGCCTGCGTCTTCTGGACGTTGATGCGGATTTTCCATTTCACGCACCAGTCCTGGATGTGGTCCAGTTCATCCTGTAGTCTCCTACGGATGATCTCGGGTCGTCGATGCTTGGCGGCTATAGCAGTGTCGTCTACATATAGGGCCAGCATTGTGTCAGCTGTCTTCGGTACGTCGTGAGTATAGATGTTGTAGAGCAGGGGGGCTAAGGCTGACCCATGGGGCACGCCTGCTTCCAGCTGTCGTCTTGTTGAGTGGCATGTACCAATCTTCACCGTGAACCATCTTTGTGTTAGATAGCTCTGGATCAGTTGGCACATGTTTGCATCGATTCCGGCGGCTTCCATTTTGGCGATGAGTCCATCGTGCCAAACTCGATCGAAGGCTCGTTCCACGTCCAGCAGGACGAGGCCGGTTGCCTCCTGGAGATTGTAGCCGCTGGTGATGTTTTCTGTCAGTCGTAGCGCTTGGAGTTCCGTGTTGTGGGAGGATCTGAAGCCGAATTGCTCTGGGGGGAGAAGTTCCAGTTCTTCTGCCTGCTTCTCTAGTCGAACGGCGATAGCCTTTTCGACTACTTTGCCCATCGAGGAAACCAGGCTGATGGGCCGGTAGTTCTGGGGCAACTTCCGCTCCTTGCCTGGCTTGGTGATCATTATAACCTGGGCTTCCCGCCACCGCCGCGGGAAGTGGGAACTCTACTCTGCTTCCCTCTCCCGGCTTATATATTCCGCATCGGTAATTCGAAAAGGTTCCGGTACGCCCACTGTTAGACGGCAATTTGGTAATACCCAACAACTTAATAAAAAGAGATGTTTCAATTATTGGAAAGTTATTAAAAATACTGAAATCCCGGTGATCTCTTAGTGTAAATTTCATTGATTGGATCTGTATTTAATATCAGGCTATTATTTACCGAACATTTTTGAGCGGCTCTGCAAACTACTACTCTATTATGAAAGAATTCAGTGTTACTTGACGTGGTCAATAAGATATTAGTATTATCCATGATATAATTTTACAACTTGAAACTGCATTCTACAGATATTCATTGAGATCGTTCGCTTATAGTAAAAAAAAAGAAAAGGCCCCAGGACCGATCCTTGGCGAACGCCTGCCTCGATAACCGTCACATCGCTACTTGCATCATTAAAACAGCCATTTGCGTTGTTGCTTGAAGGTTGGACTGAAAAAGTTGTAATGAAAATTCTCGAACTCTATATCTGCACAACTTATACAGCAGCAACTCATGATCAACATAGTCGAAAGCGCCTAAGAAAAGGAGAAAGAAATGTTGTTTTTATCAAGGGCTATGATTACTGATTTTGCGAGATCACCATACTGCAAAACTCTACCATTTGCTTTTTTATATTAAGCTAAAAAAACTTTTGAAAAACTTGATAGCAAGCTTATGCCTCTGTAATCAGCATAGTCATTCGGATCATTTCTTGTATGGATTTGTATAGCTAATGCGAGTTTTAAAAAGCTCGGAACTTGAATTTGAATTTTTTCTGCGATACCAAATGAAAAAGGTTATATACTGTAACTGGTGACTTACATAAGGAATTAGTACACATATCAATATTATTCCTAGCAAAGTTCTGATCTAATTGAACATTGTTCCTCCTGATAGTGATCATTAAATTTAGAAGCTACAATAAAATTATTAATTTACACTTAGACTAGTTGTTAGCCTCACGGATTTGTTGATCAATACCCTCATGTCTGGCTGATTTTTGTCGGAATGATTTAGTTAAATGTCTACTGATTTCCCTTTATCTGTCATCCCTTTCCGCCATTGTTTGATAAAATGCGACTTTATACCTCAAGTTAATCAGTTCTGATGTTAAAACAGTTTTACCTGGACTTTTCGTAGTCTCTACACGTTTTTGAGAAAAACAAAAAGTAAAATAGAACAAAAAATTGCTATGGAAGTTTTCAAACAGAATGTTCATTCTATACTTCCAGTCAATCTTCATAGTATAACGTTTGACGAAATATATCTATTTTCTTAATAGAAGTTTCTAATGCAAAACATATTTTTTTTTAATTCTCTATCTCTATCTGACAATAGTGATTTGAGATACAGTAGGTTTGAACAGATACCATCAAGTTATACCGAATATTAGTTAGAAGATTATCAAGGCATGGAAGTGATCCTAGTAAGTACATTAACTATCAAATACATTCCATAAAAATCTATTAAAACATTGATAAAATTAAGATTTGAGCGATTTATTAAAAAATCAACATTAAAATCTCCACCAACGATAATGTGTCATTGATTAATATTGATAAAACCTAGTAGGCCATGTAACAAATTTAAAAAAGTATAAAAACGTCCATCAGGATAAACACATACTATGATAACATTGAAACAATCTAAAAAAATGCAGCAACATTCACAACAACCTTCCACGGCGAATTCAGGTACATCAACAACTTTAAAATGGATATCTAGATTATTATTAAAATTGCTACGCCACCATGTATTAATCTTTTCCTACAGTAATAACTACATAATCTAGTTTTTCAGTTTAGTGCATTTAACTGCTCTGAATCAAACCAGTGCTCAGGCATTAGTAAAAAATCGTTTTCGAAAGTAGCATCTACAGATAACATTTTATTAGCTAGACATTGCATGTTTTGATGGCAAGCAATCAATATACTTTGTGCATATTCAATTTACATCTACTAGTTACAGAACATTAATTTGACCTTATTCTAAAAGTTTCAGTCTGACCGTCTTCATCTCTATTGCTTAGGAACCTCCCACCTTTTCTGAAGTTGAACATCTCAAAGATTGTCTTTTTTGGCCAAAAAGTAGACGAGTAGACAGTTTCATTGTGAACTGGCTTGACACCAACCATATGAGATTGGTTGTTTGGTTAACTGTTTGATGTAAACAGCAACATAATCTGGTTGTCATCATCGTCCAATTTTTTCAGCATGTATTTCTTTATTGTATCACTGTTAACAATAGCCGGTACTCTTGTAAGGAAGAACTAGATTTTGTGCTCCCTTGCTTGACCTTCAACAAAACCAGAGATTCAATTCAATTCAATTTATTTTCCATAGACAGACAATACTGTATAGGAACTGTCAGTACAATAAGTCCTAAGACTAAAAAAGAATATTGAGCTCATGTTGGTACGTGGTTTTCCTGTAACTGGATCAGCGTAGTCACTTGATGGATTGGTAATCTGTACATTTCCTGGCAATGTGATTGATTTTTGTAGATGATCTTGAAAGCCAGCGAAGCAAGGTTTATCACTTATTTTGAGCTTCAAACTTGCTTTGGATGTAGAGCTTTCATTGCTCGTCGATGCATTGCTATTACATATATATGGTTTGAGGCTTCGGAGATGAATTGAGTTTAGCTAGAGACTTGGATTTCACTTGCTTCGTTTTATAATTTGGAAATTATAAAAAAAGATACCTCGAAGTGGGAAAGGTATCGACTTAAAATTATCTTCACATGCAATATTAACAGCATGAACATTACAAACTAACTACACCAGTGGTATAGGAACGTATCATTTGACACCTAAAGAAGGAAAAAGAAAAATATTATCTACGGGAGCAGCTTTTCTGATAGATTTATTGCATTATTATACAGGGTGTCTCACGACAGAGTTACGATTTTGAAATTGAATAACAATAAAACGTTACAGTTTACCGAAACTATTTTTATTTCATATGAAAGACCAGATATGCGGATATCATTTTTTTTAATTATGTCGTCAAGATGACCTCCATCACGTACGTACGCACTCGTGGAATCTCGTCATTGCATCTTGCGTGACACGCTGGAGCAAGGTAAGCGTTCTTATACACACCTAAAAACGAAATCACAAAACACTGAAAATTAAAAAAAAAGTGATACATATTTTGGATTGCTTAAATTGTAATGAAATACTCGGCAGTGTAACAAGGGAACCACGATAAGATTAAAACCGTCGGGTCAACTTCTGATTGACAGACACTCAACGAAGCTGAACATTAAGCTCTGTACAGTTGGTTTCTTCAGGAAAGAAGCAGACATGCGCCTGTTTCGGCAGCCATGTTGACCACGAAAGCTAAGTTTTTTTGGAAGGAATTAATGAAAAAAGATGACTTTGTGGCCAGAAAAGGATGGCCAGAACGTTTCTAAAATCGTCTTTGCTTACGTTCCTACAACACACTTTTACTTTTGAGAAGACTAAGGGACAAAGATTTTGTGTCACGCTTCAACAACTTAAAACAGAAAAAATAATCAATATTTTAAGGTTTTATAAATTGATTTGTACATATTGTACTTTGTATTTTTAATTTTTGGTTATTCGTAGTGTCATGTGAAACTCTTATATTTTTAGTACATATGTACATTTGTTTGAGCATAATCATTTCCAAAAATTCGTAATAATTTTAGTTATTATTTTTTAAGTTCTATAGCACTGATGATGTATATCTGTAATGTGATGTGTAATTTACTAAATTCCGCATACATATTATACATATACCTACATAATTATGTAGTAAAATTCGTAGTTAAAATAGATTCTTAGGTTTGTAATTTGTTGATTAACAATGTATTCTTATTCAAAAAGTTCTCAGAAAGTATCCGACAAATTCGATAATCCGACATCGCTCTGTAAAACGTTTGTCGGTTTACCGCGGTTCCATTCGTCCTGGTTTTGCAAAACGACCATATACTTGTACGTTATCATAAACGACCCTTAAACCTCACCAACTCAAAAGTAATAACCGCAGTTGTTTCCATATACGCAAAGAATATAAGCCAAAATCTGGTTTTATTCCAACAGGTTGGTGAAAAGTCTGAGCACGTTGTGTTCTATACGAGATAAATACATATCCAAAATAAAGATCAAGTTAAATTTTTAGGTGTGATACTTGACCCTTGGCTCCAATGGAAAGGTCGCACTGATGTTCTTTCTCAAGAGATCCATGTACTCTGCAACTTATTGCGAGAAGTGTTGCCAAAAATACTCCGTTTTGTTACTTCACACTATTCGAATCGCACATAGCATATGCAGTTATTGTATGGGGCCACTCTGCTGAGGTAACTAGAGTATTTGGGCTGAAGAAGAGGACCATTGGATTGATCGCAGTGCTGAAATACAGAATTGATTAGAATGCTGATTGTACCAAGTCGGACAAGAGGACATCTATACCAAACCTTCAAAGATGTTCACGAATATAATACCAGAAATAAGAAAAGATTGATCCTTATATATTGGTGACTGAGAAGGTGTCAAGATGGTCCGGGGATCTGGGCAACTAATTTTTCAACAAATTGACACCAAATATAAGATGACTACCCTTAAATGATTTTAAGATTTTAATTAGAAATGTTTTAATCCAAAATGCTTTTTACAAAATTGAGGATTTTCTAAATATCCAATTAAACGTATTGTAAGTATGATGTACCATGCAAGTGGCTTTCATGCTATATGATGAGATGTTTTCTTCTGTTTTATGGCGATTCCAAACAATTTTGAGGAATGCTATAACTCTACTAGCCATTTATTAATACTTTTTTTACTACTAAGATACCTTGTGCAGTAATGATAGCCTTCTTAATACACCTTAGATTTTGGAAAACACCGGAAATTGCAAATTTTTCATATATTTATGTGCATCATGATACATATCTACTGAATACGATACTACGAATTAAAATTAAATTTCAACAATTAGTATGCACTTCATACGACAGGTGATTCCTTGAAAGGAAATATATTACTAATCCTGTACATATATGAGTTAGCAATGGATTTAAATAGTGCTATAAAAGTGAAGATCCAACACAGAAGCCAAATTAGTCATCAACTGAAATCAAGATGGTTCTGAAAGTCGTTATATTATTACTGGTGTGTGTTGTGGGTTTCTGGTGTGAAGAAAGCAAGTATACGACAAAGTACGATAATATTGACATCGACAGGATATTATCAAACAAAAGAATTTTGACCAATTATATAAAGTGTCTCTTGGACGATGGACCCTGTACGCCCGACGGTAGAGAATTCAGAAGTAAGTGTGTGGAAAACTTCAATAATATGGCCTAAATGGCATATCTTTAAATTTTTTCATTTCATACTTGTCCGATCCTTTTGAAAAAGTCAAGTAAGCAAATTGTTTCTGGAGTGCCATAAGGCTCAATTCTAGGGACTCTACTTTTTATAATTTACATTGTCGATTTTCAGACTGCTTTATCACACTATCATTTCTATTATCACACTATGTCTACTTTGCACATGATACCCAGTTGATCCATCACCTTATTATATGTTAAATTATTATTTAAAAAGAATATTAGGCACATGCTGCTAGTAGAGTAATAAAGCTAGTTTCACGTTTTGATTTTGTCATTTATACGTTATTCTCTGAAATCCTGTATAATCTACTTTCTTAGCATGGTTAAATGTAAGAGTAGCCATTGGCTAAATTTCGCCATAATAAAGCCGTATATTTTGAACATGAATGTGCTACCTATTCAAACATAATCAAGAATCGAATTAATTATAACATATTTGAATATGGAGTACTTAACGTAGTTATCTACAAGTTGAGATGTAAAAAAGTATTGAAACACATCAACCCCCTGTAAAAATTAATTTTTTAAAACATTTTTTGATAACATGTTTTGTACTACAAAGAAGTTAATAGGGCATTTCTGGACTTCACCATTAAAATTGTTGCGTGTGTTAAAGAAGTGATGAAAGAATTACTCAGTAGCTCACAGGACTCCAAACTGTGAACATCTTCTGAAGATGCCAGCCACTCGTGTTGGCGAAACGTCAAGTAAAAATATTTTACGACGGCCTAACAACCCAAAAACCAACCAAACAACATAAGAACTACTCAAATGAAAACATTGGATCTGTTTACAAATGATGGCTTTCATAAATTATTTATATATTGGTTACGTTTTTACTCACGACAAAATATTCCCTTTTTTTAGAAAATATCCCAGACGCACTCCAAACAGGCTGTCAAAAATGTTCAGAAGCTCAGAAGAAAATCGTTCAGAGGACATCCAATTACATCAGAAAGACCCGACCAGATGACTGGGATAAAATTAGAAAGAAATTCGACCCCGAGGGAAAATATTCAAAGAGCTTTGAACAATTTCTCAATGAAAAATAAGTTATTGTGGGGAAGCCGACTGCAGTATAATTATTTTTTTAAGAATTCAAGTTTTGTTGTACCATGATTCATCGCACACCGCCATAAAAATTTCATGGCCTTCATAGCATACCAAAATAGGACTTCGGGGAGTTGTTACAGCATGAAACCACAAACACTGCTTTTCAAGAAGATCTCCAACCACTTATTTTTTGAATGGGTCTAGTTAAGAGTTAGAAGCTACAAAATCAGATATCACACGACCCATTTAAAAACATGTTCCAAAATGGCTTTCAGCCGTCATCTTGAAATGTTCTGCCACTGTTACTACTTGAATTTCAACTTCCTAACTTCTGTTCCAAAAATAAATTGGTGAAGGGAGCTTTTTGAAAAGCACTACATTTTGTTTCGTTTGGCTGCCAAGTTAATGGTACCTTTTATACTTGCAAGTCCATGCCACTTGCTATTGAAAGGCGTAAGTAATAACTTACGGAAGTCTTATTTATCATGGGACGTTGTCTCCTCTTACAGCAAATTTACATTTTTTTAATCATTCCACCACGCCAATCAACATTTAACCTGGCAAGTTTGTATTTTAGCATCAAAATGCTTAAGATTTGACTAGTTGTATATCACTTCAGTATGCAATGTAACCAAAAATTTTCATCGGCTCTTGGACTATTCAATCCCGTTCATCCTATATTAAGTTCTTATCTACAAGATAGTCTAAACAATGTAACTAGATTGATTCTTATTTCCTTCATATTGCATAGTACTATATATGGACAGCGCTTAAAACATTAAATAATGTACAATTTATACAAATAAAGTTAAGTTCAATAGAGTCTAATAATAATTTAAAGGATCTGCCAATCTAGATGGCCGGGAGAATCTCCTCAAATAATTTTCTACGATACGTTTATACCATGTACCCGTGAAATATCAACCCATTTTCAAAAAAGTTCGGCACCCTGTACTCTGGAAACGTATGTCAATATGAACTTGCCATTTCAAAGGATAAAAATTGCTTTAAAATAGAGAATACCAGAATTGTATTTTTTAACCGAATCTTTAAGCATTGATACCTACCCATTTTTACTGCTTTTTAGACATTGAATCGCTTGTAGCTCGAAAATAGTGATAATAATGATTCAAAATAACCTGAAAAAATTGTAATATTTATTTAAAAAAATTGTTTAAACAAATTTAATCCGGGTTACTGTGCGGGTACATATATCGAATGTTTAAAAATTGGGTTAAAAGCTATAATATTTGAGGTCGACAGTATATAAATTGAAACCTTTCTCTACAAGATCTTGATGGGTACTTTGAGATTAGTTTATATTCAAGCGATTTCAACCTTGTTTTTTAGGCCGGAATTGGCGAACTTTTGGTTTTCGCACTCTGTACCTTTCATAGTCACACATGGAACACGTTCGGTCGATATACAGGGTGTCACAACGAAAACGGAAGGAAGTTGATGTAACTAGTGCATGACTCTTCTCTAACAGACAGTCTCGGGACTCTTTCACATCGGCGGGCCGTCGGCGATCTAGCTCTTTTCTACCGCTACACCAACGGGCTTTGCTCCTCAGAGCTCTCATCCATGATGCCAACGCGCGATGTGCCTGCCAGACTTTGGCGTCCCATCCTAACCGTACATCCAGAACTGGCAGATACGACCGGTCCTTTGTCCCGAGAGTGTCGAGACTGTGGAACAATCTACAAGAGGAAGCTTTCCCAGTTCTACTAACTTTAGGCAGTTCAAAAATCGTATTATCAAAATTTCTTTGGGATCATCATAACAGCTGCGGTATTCCGGCATTTAGGATTCTGCCTGTGCGGCTGCTTCGATATAAAACAGTATTTTAAAATTATTTTAATACATACAGGATATGTTCCATAACTTCATGCCATAGCGAACATTTTTAAATAATGTATTGTATATTTGAATAGAGCTTCTAAAAACAACAAGTTTTATGTCATACAATATGTCATTTCGATTGTCAATTATTTAGATATTTAGTGAAATGTCTGAAAAAAAATCCCAACTTTTGACGGCGCGCAGCTGTGTTATTTTTGAAGATATGTAGATAAATTTTAGTTCATAAAAATTTTATTATCATCGATTTTAAGCTGATCTGAAAGAAATGCTAAAATATCTTTTTTTATACAGGGTATCTCAAAACGCAAAATGTATCGTTTCATCATTAAATATCTTTTGTTGAAAAAAAATATATTCCACATTTAGAATTCAAATCATGAAAGCAATGCATTTTTTTTCGCACAACAAGACTCATCTTAGTCCAAGACAGTCATTCATTATAAAATTGTTGTAATACATTTCAAGTAGTTCTGTTGATTCCTATTTGTTTGATCTCAGGTCCAGAATTTTTCCACAACCACATTGTTTCAGCAACTTGGGTAACACGATTCCCTATTGGGTTTAAGTCAAAGGACCATACAAGGTGACCCAACGAGAAGGCCGCACCCTTATTTGTGACTCTCCTGGTATATTTTGGGAAAAACGCTCGGGCACTTCAACTTTGATTAGGAGGGCGTCTTTTCATCTATAGCCATTTTTTTTAGTTATTAGATTTTGTATGAAGGTTTTAGTAACTTTTGTATAATACCTATCTCCAATCGTTGTGAAGCTATTTGTGTTTATAATAAAATTCTAGAAATTGTGATAATAAGAAATTATATCCTAAAAATAATAATCAATGTATTTCCCATAATAACAAGACTTTACTTCAAAACTAAAAACAAGTCTCCGAATATTAAAAAAACAACATACATTTTACACGCACATTAAAGTTAAAATAAAAATTAATTTGCTGTAAAGAGGTAGGTCAATGTGGTAATACGTGCTGAAAGTGGTGGTGTCCATTTACCCCCATGCAATAATAAAGATTTTGTTAGAATCTATTCCTCACAATCTCAAGCATGTCTTGAGTTATTTGGCTACATTCAACCGTAATACGCTGACGATGATCTTAAATGGAACCTTACTTCGTACTAAAAACTTTACTTTTCAAATGCCCCCAAAGAAAGTAATCTAAAGGACTTAGGTCCGGAGATCTCGACGGCCACTTGATGGGGTCCCGTTTGTCGATCCACTGATCGTCCAAACATGTCGTACTGAAGCCACATAATGCGGCGGGGCAGCATCTGTTTTAAATTAATGTAATTTTCATTACAATTAACGTCATTTTCTATTATTCCGGTAATTCGTGGCTCTATTGTACTTTCTAACATGTCCAAGTACTGTGGATTCGAGTCATTCCAATATCGACAATTATGTCTATTTACAGCACTATGTAAATAGAACGTACACTCGTCCAAGAAACAAATATTAAATAACAGATTTGCATTGTTGATTAAACGTTGGGACATTAATTCGCACGTACGGGTGAAATTTAGTATCTTTCAAAATTGTTTGTGTTTGTACTGTTGAGCGTGAAAATCTGAAGAAGTATCCACTCCACGAGTGCTTTGGTTGTTGACAAGTGCTACGTGTCCCAAAACTGCTATTTCTGTCGCTTCATTTCCAACTCGTCGATTTTCTCTATGGCGATTATGGCGAATATTAGACACAGATCCAGATTCTTCAAATTTTCTTATCATCGTTAATATTTGTCTGGATGCAACGCATTAAACAACCGGGCAGTAGCTCTTGCAATGTTCCCACTTTGGTAATACAGTTTTGTTATTTCTGTTCTATTTCTTCTTGAATTGAATAAGTCATTGTTAAATATTTATCAAAACAGTTTGAATTCAAAGTTTTTCTATGACATACGATGAGACTAACTGATGCTAAATGTCCTTGCTTCATTGATCGTATTTCCGGGCATTGTACAGGGTGGGGCAAAAGTCGCGAAGGGATTTGAAAAATTAATAACTTTTTTAAATTGCAATTTTAATTTTTTTCCCTAACACAAAACTAAAATTCAATGTTTGGAGTTCGTTTACAATTTAAGTGTGAAAGATTACATCACGCAAATGACCGCCATTTTCAGCCTCGCAAAGTGCAGCTCTTGCAAGAGCATTTTCCATTACCCGAGTCAGAATATCTGGCCCCAAAGCACTTACTTCTGCTCGAATATTATCTTTTAGTTGCTGCAGGGTTGTGGGTTTATTAATATACACTTTTCCTTTCAGATATCCCCAAAGGAAATAATCAGGGGCTGTTAAGTCCGGCGAGCGGGCGGGCCAATTGAATCCTGAATTTCTCGAAATTAAACGTTCGCCAAAAATCTGCCTTAGAAGGTGCATAGTGGCTCGAGCAGTATGCGCAGTGGCTCCATCTTGTTGGAAAGTCATCGTTTGATTGTCAGCAAGAGCTGGTCTTAAGAAATTTTGAATCATATCACGATATCGGTCGCCATCTACAGATACAGCATTCCCATCGTGGTCTTCGAAGAAGAATGGTCCAATAATTCGTTGAGACGTAACTGCGCACCATACTGTACATTTAAGCGGATGTAATTGCCTTTGATGAACCACCCTTGGGTTCTCGGTACCCCATATTCTGCAGTTCTGCTTATTTACGAAGCCATTCAAATGAAAATGGGCTTCATCGCTCATGATCAGAGAATGAATAAATTCATTATCTTCTCGAGCCATTCTTTGCAAGCGAACTGCATAAGTTAGTCGTTCTTGAAAATCTGCTGGTTTTAGTTCTTGCACTAGCTGCACTTTATATGGAAACAGATGTAAATTTCCCTCTTAATATTCTGCGTAAAGACCTTTGAGACATCTGCAGCTCAGCAGAACGTCTTCGGGTTGAGGTTTCCGGATTCTCCTGAACACTCTCCTGAACGCGTTGAATGTTCCCTTCATTTCTTGCGGAACGTGGCCTTCCGCTTCGTGGGAGATCCATAACTGTGCCTTGTTGCGGAAATCGTGCCACTAAGCGTCGAATCATTGATTCAGAGGGCGAATTCCGCAAATTGAAATGACGACGATATGCTCGTTGAGTTTGAATTATTGAATGGTGATATTCAAAATAAAATTCTATAAGTTTAGTTCGTTGATTGAGGTTGTAACGCTCCATAATTAATCTCCAGGATTTATTTTACACGGTCCTGAAAAAAAAAATGAAAACAAAATAAATTTAAAAAAGTTATTAATTTTTCAAATCCCTTCGTGACTTTTGCCCCACCCTGTATAATTTTATATTGAATAATGATAACATTACAACTTAAATTGCACGCCGATATCAAGTAAGTTGCTACTCTAACATATAAGATTGAAAGGCCTCATACGTAACGACAAAGTTTTCGAGTCGGAGACACAACTATAAAACGTATGTCTTTGAGCTTACGAAAGATGACTATTACGTCATACCATAAATTGTACTGAAGAAATCAATAGACGTACGTCGATGATAAAATCACAATGTCAGGAACATAATGACAACAAATTTATATTATGATTTTGCGAAGTTAGGTTATATCACTGATAATTTTGATTTTCATTTTATTTCATGGTTTTGAGTGATACCATAATAATAAGTTTAGTGGGGAGTTTTTGTTTTGAAAAAAACAGTTGAGTAGAATACCTTGAGACAGGAACACCAAAGGCCAAAGTATTATTCGAAAACAACCTAACCTGCTTTAACATAACCTAACTATTCATCTTTCAAATATGATCGATCATGCAACATGAAAACATCGTCTATCTTTGTCGGATACATGCAAATTAGCAATACAGTTTGTTTAGACAATAAAATTATGTTTGTCTCTGTCTAACATATCTGAAACTTCATTAAACATATTCGCAAATCGCTGTCGTTTGTCTTTACTACAGACTAAAATGATGACGTAATCGTCATCTTTCGTGATTTCGACTTTACAACTATAACTCAGGCTAAAATTTCAGTTAGCCCTTCTCAGTATCCATCAAAAAATTCGGTTGTTTCCAATATCTTGCATTTTTCAATGTTGTTGTTTCGTATACAATCCTGTTAACAAACATAGCTCCAGATTGAATACTCTAAGAAATAACCTTCATCATTCATTGACAATTGGAACACTAGGATTGTGTGAAATCCACGCACTTTAATATGTTTTCGCCGTAAAACACGAATTTCATGTGAAATGTCAACAACTGTCAAACCAGCGGCTTAGGCCTGATCAACTTTTAGTATTAACTTCCATACTGACTATAGACTATGAGACCTTGGAGATGATCAAATCATAGACTCCTAGACGATGTCGCGACCTGGAACGGCACCTTTAAAATCAACCCTTCAAGTTGGCCAGATGGCTTGTTAACATTCTATATGATGTTTCTTATCGAAGTAAGACATTTGGTTAGTTAACAACAGAGCGAAAGTGAAAATATTTCATTATCAGTTCTTCTTCAATACCTCTGAGGTAGTGCTCCTGGGTGATTTCAATGCCCATGAGTCTCTGCTCAAACAGGACCGATGCAGCACGTCATGCTATTGAGTGCGTTCGCTATTACCCAAGGACTGAGCCAGCTGGTAACGAGAGCCCTACTTTTTCCCCCGTGTTTCGTCACGCGCCAATAGTCTACTTTATCCCCTTCTGGCCAGACCACCTGTCCCTTACACCACTACTATCCTGTGTCCCCCTGTTGTTTCGCTGATGCGCCGGCTGCCTGTTCATCGACAACCGAAATTATCCACATTGAGATGGAGGAATTCATCCCTCATGCAGTGAAACTGACTAAAACATGGTTCAACAAATCGTGCGACAGTACTCTTCAACAGAAGGCCAAGGCACACAGAACCTTCTTAGAAAACCCCAATGTAGAAAACAGACAAGCCGACGTCGAGTCCAGAAACAAATATAACAAAGCGGTCCGCAATGGCTAAGACCAGCACGATGTAAAAATTAGTGACAGTGTAATGTTGAAGCGCAACGGCAGTGTGTCTTTCTGGACGATGGTCAAGCAGATTGGAAGGAATTTCTCACAGAGCCTTCCACTACTTACGTACCAGGATTGTAACCGACTCAAAAGCTAAAGCGGAAGTGCTTGCCAAGGTCTTTGCTGCCAACTCCGCTATTGACGTTCCCCCCAACGCACGAGTGCTGTTGATTCAAAGGACTCCCTACATCATGCGGGAAGTAACATCCAGGCATGGGACCGTAAGACGACAATAAAGCTCGTTGTCCGCACTTGATTTCTGCCGTTGTACTAAAGAGATGTGCAGTTCTTTTCCGTCTCTTCCAGATATCAGACACTTTCTCGGGAAACTGGAAATTGGCGCATGTCCAACCTATCCCAAAAAAAGGTTCCAAGGCCGACCCTTACAACTGCAGGGCTATAACTCTGCTTTCTGCTGTGAGCAAAATTATGGAGAGATGCATAAGTCGGGAGCTTCTGGAGTACCTCGAACATCACTGCTTGATTAGCGACAGGCAGTATGGTTTCCGGCACCAGCGATCCACAGGGTACATCCTAGCTTACGCAACGCAACTGTGGAGTAAACTCTTATGGCGAGGCCCATGTTGTTGCTCCTGATATCACGATAGCGTTCGATCAGTTTTGGCATGCTGCCCTCTTATGCAAACTTCCATCCTATGGCATCTTAAGCTTTGCAGATGGGTGGATGACTTACTCTCTGACCGCAAAATATCCGTCGCTATTAACAGGTTCTCCTCTTCATCCCGCAACGTCAATACGGCTGTTCCCCAGGGATCGGTCTTGGGTCCGACGTTATTTCTCTTAGATATCAACGACCTTCTTTCTTATACAATGAATCCAATCCACAGCTTTGCTGTTATTAGCACTCTACATGCAAGAATTCAGAGTGACAAGCCGATCTCTGCCGGTGAGCAGGAGAAACGAAGACTAGCAGAGACTTTCTCTCTAACGAGAGTCTACAGATCGCCAACGACTTGATCTGACACGAACACATCTCGTAAGACCAAGCCTCAAGTACTACTCACATGGTTGGGGTGCTGCCGTCCTGACTACATTATCCATGCTCGATGCTATTCAGAGCAGGGCTGTCCGTCGGATCGATGACTTTTCTATAATGGACACAGTCTCCGAACCTTTTCGCACCGGCGGGCCGTCTGCGATCTAGCTCTCTTCTACCGCTACGCCAGCGGGCTCTGCTCCTCAGAGCTCTCCTCTATGTTACCGCCGCACGATTTACCTGCCAGACAAAGCCTCCTCACTTCGGGCACCCATCCTAACTGTGTCGAACTTCCTTCATCCAAAACTGGCCGATGCGACCGCTCCTGTCGCTAGGGAATCCAAATTGTGGAATACTCTACATGAGAAGGCTTTTTCCAGTTCTTATGACCTTAGTCAGTACAAAAATCAGATTAACAAAGTTCAAGCTCCTCATAGCAGCTGCTGTGCCCTGGCAATTCGGCTTCAGCCTGCGCGGCTGCTTCGGTGTAAAAAAAATAGCTGGAAATTAGTTGTCTGTGAAAAAGAGCACAAAGGACTGCAGCGATGCAATTTGCAGATTCAATTGCACAGTATGTTTTTTCTACAACCGCAGCAATTTCCTTTTCTTGTATTATAGTTGTAAATGGATAAGAATCCAAGCACAGATCAAAATCAAATCAAAAAGCTTTATTGATCACCAGAACCGTTACGGAATTAAATGATTTATATGACTTGTCACATTAAAAATTAAAATTCCATGCAATATTTTGGTCCGATCACATCTAGTAGCAAGCATCTTTGTCAGTTTATCGCTCTAGAGCGGTAACACTTTTACCTATTTATGTTACTATTTTAAAATCCCCATATTCAACGGAATACACTTTAATGAAGCTACACTATATTTATACAGCACATTTATTTATACACATGGATATTCGTAGTTATTCAATAAATTCCTACAAATAGTTAGAACTATATACAATTTTGAAAACAACATGGGTATTAAAAGGTCACTTTCATACGTTGAACATTGTTACCAATTGAACAGAATTGCGACAACAAAAACTCGGCAAAAGCTAGCCGTACCCCTTCAAATGCAACTGAAAGATTTGAAACTACTATTGTAATCAAAATATCGTTCATTCAAATTTACATAACGCCAAATGGCATTTTTAGATATATATGTTGAACCTAATCCAATCAATTGAACAAAGTTGAAACCATAAAAACCCCACAAAAACAGCATAGTAACATTTCAAATGACACTGAAACACTGAATCAAACTATCGTGATCAAAATATGCTCATTTACATTGGAATGACATGAATTTTTTTATTAGAAAGATATATTTTAAACACAATCTAATAAAAAGAAAAGAACTGAAACGATAAAAATTCCACAAAAGTCAACCAAATTCCATTTCAAATAAAACTGAAAGATTTAAACAAACTGTTATGATCAAAACATCGTTCACCCAAATTTACAGATAATGCCCTATGCTAATCTTCTTTCTTTCTCTTTTTAGGGTCTTCGCTGAGGGTGACGGTTCGTTTTCTCTTGATACCCGATTCGCTGGTCCTTGTTTCCCTTCTTAGAGGCACATCCTGCTGAGCCTGAACCTGAATAGTTATAAATATCGATAAATGTTGCAGATCGCAACTAGCATTTTGTTAAATTGGGCTACTAATACTAAAAAGCTGGCTGCTATATTTGTCAAATTGTCCTCAAAACTTAAATTGTCTTGAGAGTTGAATCCTTTGTCAAAAATTGGTAACTATGACTAACTATATTACGACCCTAATAGACCTTTGACCAAGAGGTTAAATTGGTTCAAACCTATAAAAAACAAACGTAAGTACTAAAAAAATGGTTGACCTCGAAGATAAATCTCGAGGTTACCTTGACCTAAAATAAGCCCTCAATCTTTTTTAGACATATTGGTAAGTAAAAATTATGCTATTGGTGACCAATAAAAAATCCTTTCAAGTTTGCAATATAGATTAGGAGAGACAAGTAAATAACCCTATTGTACTATTGTACACCTTCAGGTAAAAAGGATTCTTTCTCTGCCTCTCTCTAGATTATTAGACAAGGACTGTGACTTAAAAAGAGAGAACGATCCCTATCAGGATTGTATTAAAATTCATACACATCTTGCCAGCTACGGGAAACTAATAACTACAGCCTACTTATAAATCATTTAATGTCAAATTGTTTGTCCAAAAATAAAAACTAGGATCTAGTTTCACCTTGATTTGGAATTTGACATCTTAACTAATTATTGGGTCTGAAATAGGGTAAACTCAACTACATGGTTAAAAATGATTGCTATTTCGACCTGCATCATATACCGTATTTCAAAAGTATACATCACGCTTTGACGTCTACTGAGGTGAACACCTGATCAGCAAGTGACATTTTGTGTTAATCTGCGACGTTGGCAATAATGAATCGAGTGTAAATCTAGTTAAACTGGTTTGTTTTTTGTATGCAAATATTTTTTCTAAATAAAATAACCTTTAGCAAGTACAAAATGAATCTGTAGCGTACAAAAAACCAAAACAAAATATACTCAGTTCTGTCTACCTGGCATTGACAGCTCCGTCAGAATTATGTGTCATATATGAGGAATTTTGAAATATTATTAGATAATCAGCTGTCATTCTACCGAGAAGGATACTCGTGGAATAGGATATAGCAAAGATGTACTATTGGTTAGAATTGACGAGCGAAAATCCCTACAGGTCGAAATTCTGAAAACGACCATATTTGATAAAATATTCTCTTTTTAATATTAAAACATGAACGTTAACAAATTGTTATCGTATTGTGTTGCTTTTTCCAAAAATACCCAAGTCACCCATAAACCCATTATTTTGCATATAATTAACAACTTCGCGCTTTAAAACAAAGCGTTATTATAATTTGAGGTTATGTTGTTCGCAGAGTAACTCGTTAAAATTGTTAACAAAATTCGGTAATTTAACTTATTTCTAAGGCTCCTGAATTTTGGATAACACACATTTGACGAAAAAAGTTCCTCTGTTATGATCTCTACCACAAAGGGAAGCCATTTCTTTAACACACTAGGCTATAAACACGTGCATCAAAAGCTTATCTTATTTTTAACCAACAGATAACCAACTGTATGTATGAGCACGATAGAGTGATGTATATAGTTAGTATGTTTCAACCATTTATATTTTTTCCTCAACTTCGCTTATAATTCTCACAGCATTATGTTCGTTATTTTTGTCTCAATTGGATCAGCACTTCTATCAGTTTTTTTCTATATGTTGATCATTTTTGCTACTACATTTATTATTTAAATGAGTTACTGTAATTACTGGTTGTAACTGTGAATAAACAAGCAACAGTCTTTCTCCTCCCAAAGGTTACCATAGAGCCAGAGTAGTTTTAGGCAACGTTTCACAAGCAACTAAGGCATTAGTCCGAAGAAAAAGCGCGTTTTACAGGGCCGCAACGTGCTTTTTGTGTTCGCGAGTTCTATAAAAACAAGGATTCTTATGTGCTTGTACGTCGTTTGTACAGAAATCATTATAACATAGCAAGAATGAGAGATGTCCCAAGCGCAAATTTAATTAAATATTGGGTAAGAAAGTTCGAGAGCACTGGAAACACGTGTATTAGTAAACCGCCTGGACGGCCAAGGTCAGCAAGATCGAACGAAAATATTGAACGTGTGCGCCAGTCCGTTAACGAGGATCCCCGGCAATCATTAAGACTGCGTGGAGCGTCTCTAACTTTGCATAAGTCAACTGTTCATCGCATTATTCGCAAGGATTTGCATTTTCACCCATACAAGATTGTTGTTACACAACAATTAAAACCACAAGATCCCGCTAATCGATTAGAGTTCTGTAGAACAATGAGAGAGCATTTTAACGGTTACAACAACATATGGTTTTCTGATGAATCGAATTTTCACATTAACGGGCATGTTAATAAACAAAACTGCCGATATTGGGCCGAGCAGAACCCGCAAAATCTTCATGAGACGCCATTACACTCGCCTAAAGTTATCGTCTGGGCTGCTATGTCAGGGCAAGGAATCATTGGCCCGTATTTTTTTGAAGACAATCGTGGCCAAGCTCAAACTGTAACATCTGAGCGCTACTGCCACATGATTAGGACTTTTTTAACTCCAGCTATACAGAACCATGGTGGCTACAATAGAAACACGTTTTTCCAGCAAGATGGAGCGACTTCTCATGTCACGAATGAATCCTTGGATGCTCTTCATCAGTTATTCCCAGAGAGGGTCATCAGTCGCAGAGGAGACATTAACTGGCCACCGAGAAGTCCCGATTTGACACCAGCAGATTTTTTCTTATGGGGATACCTGAAGAGTAAGGTATACACCCCACCGCCACAAGATTTGAGAGCGTTGAAGCAAAAAATAACAGATGAAATAAACGCCATTCCTCGAGCAATGCTTCGGAGAGTGATCGAAAACTTCAGTTCGAGATTAAGAGAGTGTGAAAACATGAACGGTGCTCATTTATCCGATACTCTTTTCCATAAATAAAATTAATGTTTAGGCTTTCGTTTGGTAATAAATTTATCTTTGTAAAAATATTCTAAGTATTTTTATTTATGGCATAAAATAAGAAAATATTTATGAGACACCCTTTATTACCTAGACGAAACTTGGCTCAATGCAGGGCACACTGTTAGCAAAGTATGGATGGTTTCATCAGTTGAGCGTCATCGGCAAGCCTCGGGATTCAAAAATCCTTCAGGTAAAGGAAAACGGCTAATTATCTCTTACACATCGTATCTGATAATGGCTTCGTGGAAGATGGACTATTGGTATTTGAATCAAAACAAGCAGGAGTCTACCACGCCGATATGAATGCTAATTGCAATTGAATGCTTTGAAAATATTATAAGCCGTCTAGAAGAGAACGCTGTCATTGTTATGGACAATGCTTCATACCATAGTAGGCGTATTGATAAAGCACCAAACAGTGGAAACAGAAAAGGGGTAATACAGGAATGGCTACAAATGCATAATGTTCCCTTTGACAACGATGTGGTCAAAGCAGAACTTTTAAATCTGGTCAAGGGCAATAAAAGTGCTGACAAGTATGTTATCGACGAAACGATTAAATCTACCAATCGGACTATTTTACGCCTGCATCCTTACCATCGCCAGTTTAACCCAATCGAGTTAATTTGGGCGCAAATTAAGAACGAAGTTTCAAGAAAAAACACAACTTTCAAGATCGCAGATGCAAAGCCGCTTTTTTACACCGCGGTACAAAATGTAACTCCGGAAAATTGGAAAAAGCAATCGAACATGTTAAGAAGGAGGGAGACAAAGTGTGGACAACTGACCAATGTAAGGAAAGAGTGGTTGAACCAGTGAATATTAACTTAGGAAACGATTCAGAATCTTCAGATTATACTGATAGTAATAGCGATTAGTTAATAAATGTAATTTGTATATTTACTGGATAATGACGAAGGACCTGTATCCCTAAGCTTACTTATATAATTACCATGTTTATTTCGACGGCTCTATCCGGATAGACTTCAAAGGTTATCCCAATCCTGTGTTAATCCGGACCGCTAATTTCGAAGGAGCCCTCTGTCCAAGATTTTGACGTTATCAGTTTTGGTTTGACTTGTGTATTGCCGAAATAAACGATCAGGATTACACATGATTGGGATAATCCACTTCAAAGTCTATCCGGATAGAGCCGTAGAAATAAACGTGGTAATGAATGCAGGTAGATTCATTATTAGGTATTATATTAAAAAGATCCAGATTCCAATCTAAACAAAAAATTAATTTTTGACCCCTTTTCTTTATTTTTTTCCCATGTATTAAAATTATTTTTGTAATATAAAAAATATGTATCATAAACTGGGGCAGCATATTTAATATATCAATGTAATAAAACTTATAACACCTTGAATGTAATAGAAGAAACAGTGAAAATAAATTAAATGGTACCTCAATTAATTTTAAAACCTACACGCCACTGGCGATAACGCATTATCGGTTTTGCAGGTAGTTGTGGGGTGTAAATCGGGCTGCCCTGTCACTTGTTTTATTACCCCGTACGTTTGTTGGATAGATTATATAACCATTGATTAATGTATTTTTCAAAAAAATGTCCAATCCTTCGCTATATTTGGACATTCCCGTATAATTTCTATTGTCACAGCCATGTTGACACATAAGATCCCAGAAGTAACAAAAAACAGACTCCAACCTCCTTTTATTCATTGTTTTTTTTTTTGAAAATGACATCAGCCTTCCAAAGAAAAGTTGTTACTCAACCTTGCTTGTAATTATTCCCAGGATTTCATATTCTCAGAATGTCTCAACGACAGAAATTGAAATCACATAACGTGTGGCAATAGTCCTACAGGTTAAATTAACGAATTTTGTCAACAATTTGAATAAGACGCTCTGGTACCAACATAACCTCAAATTATACACACGCTTTGTTTTAAGGTGTGAAGTTATTAATTATGTAAAAAGTAATGATTTTTTGGATGACTTAGGTTTTCCACGAAAAAGTAAAATATGTAAGCAATACATTTTTTCAGAATTTCGACCTGTAGAGATTTTTCCTCATCAATTCTAACCAATAGTACATCTTTACCACGATGCAGGACGAAATAGCACGCATTTTAATAATAATGAATTAGGGTTCAAAGTCCAGATCAAGGTGAAACGAGGTCCTGGCTTTCATTTTTTTACAAATAATTTGACATTAAATATTTTTTCAAATTGATGTATGTAGGCTGTATACGTAACTGGCGAGATATGTATGAATTATACTAAAATCCCACCTCGTATTGCGTGTATGCGATAGGAAAAAATATCGTGACAGGGATATATATTTGTAAAGTACAGTCATTGCCTAATCCAGACAGAGAGAGAGAGAGAGCGCGCGTGAGCGACAGAGAGAGAGCACGAGCGAGACAGAGAGAGATGGTGCGAGAAAGTGAGGGAGAGAGATGGACGTATCGGGTGCGTTGATTAGTAGCGGTTGATGTTCGATTATGATACTTGTGTGCATCAGTAAAGAAACTAGCAAGCAAAAGAACCCAGAACCAAACAGCCATCGAAGATCGGTATGAGGGAGGGGGGTAACCCAATTGCCAAAGGGCTATTTTGGGCACTACAACTTTGAAGACATAAGAGTAATTTTAACTTGAGCTAAGACACTTCTATTTAAAAATATAAACCTGGATGAAAATTTACTAAAAGAACCCTTTTAACCTCAAGGTGTACAATATGGTTATTTAGTAGAGAGACTTTTTCACCTATATTCCAAGCTTACCAGGAATTTTTACTTGTTATTAATAAGATAATTTTTACTTACCAAGAGGCCCAAAAAAGAACCTATTTCGTATTTTAGATATTAGGTATGCTAGAACCTCTGGGTTTGTCTTCGAGGTCAATAATTCTTTAGATACCTTTTAGGCTTGTTTTTGCAGTTTTGAACCAAACAATTTCTCTTCTTGGTCAAAGGTCTAATAGGGCCCTAGTTTGGTACGTAGCTACTAATTTTTGACAAAGGATTCAACTCTCAATACAATTCAACTTTCGTGGAAGTCAATCAAGGATATAATTATTACTAAAATTTGACAACTACAGGTAACTTTTTCTTGGGTGGTAGCCCATTTTTACAAAATGCTAGTTGGGTAGTGGACAGATGTATAGTTGCAATCATAAGTGACTGATGGCGCCACAATTCATATGCTTATTTTCTCGTTTTCAAATAAATTTGGTAACTTCTAATATGTTATTCAAAGCTCTAACTTATCAATTCTAGTATAGCAATATAATATCGTCCTGATAACCTAACTGAGCTTTCACGTTTCTCTTAGATATTATATTTCAATTTCATTTCATCACCTGCATCAGGAATTCAAATTGTTGCATTGCCTCCTCCTGCATTTGCTTGGCCATGTCGTATATTGTATCTTTAGTCTTGTTGTACATCATTGCATTTGTGAACATCAGCATCGCATCACGTTTGAACTCTAAGGTAGTCCTTATAATGCCATTTTCTATGTTCTTCTTTATAGTTTGAAGATCCATTGGCCTGTAGACAATGCTGCTGTATCCTAGAAACGATATTCACAGTCTCAGAGGTATGCAATTCATGTTAATCACACCATTATATGTACATCTTGTCTCTAAAGGTTAAGTTCTGCACATAGGCACCAGTCAGGTACCCAGGCTAGTGATATACACAAAATCTGACACAGTCACTGTATTATTTATTATGCTCAAATTCAAAAAGCATTAATAGCACAGGATCGACCGGATGAAGAGCGTTTTTTACACAATCAAATATATTGAAATAATGTTCCACGTTTTCTGGCCGTTAAATGAAACCACATACGTAGGTTTGAGTTTTTATTAACGTTTGGACCACTTCGATGGTCTTTTTCAAAATACAATTCAAAAAGTAACAGTGACAATACATTTTATCTTTATATGCCTTCCAGGTGACAGTTTCATTTTTATATTGGCGACGCCGAATCCGAATTTGTGACCAACGAAATTTTTACACCCTTGGAATTTACCCCCTGAACCAAAAACTAGCCCTCAAAAGGGATGGAAAATTGATTCTCGGAGGCCAAATACTGTACTGTTACTCGGTTCCTACATACATATGCTCGTACATCCAGCGGAATGAGTTGGCAACTTTCAAAAATATTCTATTACGAGACGTACTATATGGTACTTCACCTATGTATGGCCCAACCCTAGTTTTGTAAGGATCATCAGGCTCTATGGTTCAGCGAAAAAAATTCAAACTTTGGGAATAAAAAAGCTTTCGATACCAGCAAATGGATCATTTTTGTCACAAAGATAAGCCATACCAATGAATCAAAATGATTGAGCGTCATAATAATGTTTTTGAATACGCTATAACCTGGAGAAATCAGAAATGATGAAAGCAAATATTCGGAAGGTAGTAAAGCCTACAGTAGACAAACTTTGGGGATAAAAAAGCTTTCGATTCCCACAAAATCTTTGACACACAAATATAAGCCTTGCAAAAAAAACAAAATTATTGTGCCTCATAATACTACGTTCTAGCCTGAGGAAATAAAAAACGACAAAAGCGATTTTGAAAAATGTTTGACTACGCCCAAACATTTTCGGAAAGTTGTAAAGCTTATAGTAGACAAAACTTTGGGAATAAAAAGCTTTCGATACCCACAAATTGTTAATCTTTGACACGCAGATGATGTTTAAGTATGTATCATTACTTTTATTTGAAAGTAAGCCTTACCAAATAATCAAAATTATTGAGCCTCGTAACATTTGACTATGCTCAAAAATTTTCAGAAAGATGTAAAACCTACAGTAGACAAACTTTGGGAATAAAAAAGCTTTTCATACCCACAAATTGAAAATCTTTGACACGCAAATGCCGTTTCAGTATGATTACTTTTATATGTAAGTCAAAGATAAGCTTTTACAAACAATAAAAATTATTGAGTCTCATAATCATGTTTTTGACTACGTTCTAACCTGAGGAAATCAAATCGACAAAAGCGATTTTGAAAAATGTTTGACTACGCCCAAAATTTTCGGAACTTTCGATACCCACAAATTGAGAATCTTTGACACACAAATGCTGTTTAAGTATCATTACTTTTACATGTAATTTTTTTGACTACGCTCTTTCCTGGAGAAATCAAAAATGACAAACAAATTTGAAGAATATTTGACTACGCCCAAAAATTCTCAAGAGGTTGTAAAGCCTACAACAAACTATGGGAACGTTCTGAAGATGTTTTGCTTTTTGTTCATAATTCCACTTCCAATTAACTGATTTTCAAAAATGAAGTAGCATTACCGCCTACTATGACCCCTCTCATGTTGAACCCATTCTGTTTTCATCTGTCGAACCAAGCATGTACGACACTGTCTCAAATTCGTTGAGAATCTTCAGCATGGTCCAAATGCCTGATTGTAAATGAACTTCGACCCTCGAAATTAATTCCAATGTATCTTGTCGTTATATATATATATATATATGGGGTCTGATTCTAAATGAGTTTCGGCAGTTAAAACTGATTTCGATAGCGCCTTGTGACAATATACCTATTTGATTCGATATGATAATTTTGACACTGCAATGATAATCTGAATATAGAAGATCGACATAATCAGAATTTAAATCAGGCCCATGATCTTTCGACATCATTTTCACACTGCTATGATGATTCAGATATATTAGTCGTATCGAAGCAGGTGCCAAAGTAGTTCCTGACATCGAAAATCATTTGAAGAATCAAAATTCAGTTAGAATCCGACCTCAAGTAAGACGCCATATGAAACCACAGCAACTTGTCCCTATCAGAGGTATGGACAAGATAGAAGCACACAACACACAGCACCATCTACAGTAAAAATAGTCACTTTTGAACAAGAACATCTGTTTCCAAGCATTACCTGGAGCTTGATCGTCTGTGATAGGCTTCAAGAAAAGCGAAGCGTATTTGTTGCTAGCCAGTCGACTGTACACCAACATCACGGACTTCTTCCAACTCTTATATTCTTTGTCGTCTTCGTAGAAAGCTGTACTGGAAGCTGGCGAATTTGGAATAGAGTCTACGGGAGTTGCAGGGGTTGAATATCTACGACAAATAATATAAAATAATAAATCTTGATCGTTAAGATCTAAGCGAGATTGTGAAATTAGTCATTTGGTTGAACTCTTTTCTTGAAAGATGAAATAAAATGTCTGGGAGGAAGTGGGCGTGGTTTCCGTCCCTGGGAAAGGATCCCAAATTCTACCAACTGTTGACATTTGTCAAACAAAGGAGGGGGTACAACCTTACGGAAAGCAGTCCCCCGTGCATCTTGCTCAAACTTTGGAAATAAGCTCTCCAGAGCATTCCGATCAAAAGTTTTCATGGGCTCTTAACAATCCTATGACGCGTTTCGCTGATAAACAGGGTGTCCCAAGCATGCGAGAACGGTTTATTGCTCCCAAATAAAAACTTTTCAAAGAAAACTATTTACAGGTTATTGTACATGGTTTCCAAGCGCAGATTTCTAAAATACTCACAATTATACAAGGTATCCCAATGTTGGCCACATTAAACATATATATTTTTTTAAATGGAAGGCGGTACTTTTTATTACACACTCTAAAAGAAACAAAAGAAGAAGATTGATATAGCCTACTTATGGATTTTGATTTTTACTTATTGGGATATTGGGTATTTTATATAAAAAATAACCATAGTTTGACAACCTGGATATCTGCTGTCTTGACAAATCGGCAAAATATGTTCTTGAATTTCTCATACCGTTGATCGTTCCATCACAAAGTTAACTTAAAGACTTTAAAGGTGAAACTGATGGACAACAGCGAGACTCGCGCACTTTTTCTCACTCGGTGAGCGACTGTTCTACTCGTATAAGCGTTCAGGGGGTGTTCTCGAATCTCGCAATCGAGATTTTTCATTCAACAAAATCTCGGAAAGCTAAGACAATGCGACAATAAGTGAGTCGTTAGAGATTTTTTCGCCGTTCGCCAAAATGCAGATGATAGATGTAGGATTTTGATTGAAAATGTTTCCTTATCTCTTCATCCTTGATCACCTTTTTAGCCGTCTTAAAATCCAATAGCTTTACAAAAGTGACAACAAGTGACAAACGATGACTCGAATCACAAAAATAAAATTCCAGTGTCGCATACGAGAATATTTCGCATGCGACACTGATGTCGAAACGAGAACACCAATTTGCTGAAGCATTAGACATTTTCGTGAGACAAATCTCGAATGCGAGACTCAAGAACACCCCCCTGAAATACAGTTTACCGTAAGGTAAAAGAACCACGCCCACTGTCTCTCAGTTATTCTACTTCCTCATTTCAAGTTTATTCTCTCACGTTATATGGGAAGTATATACCTATAGATTTCAAGGTCCTCTTTCCGAATTTTTAGCTTTGAAACCAGGTGTCTTTGCCACTCATTCTCCCATATTGGAAAAATCTCGTCCTCAAAGTGTTTTGATTGTTAGTGTTTGCCACAATAGATAATAAATAAAAATAAACTGCCTTCATTCGATTCTTGTACAAATATGAAAATATATTAAACTGAAATTGTAGAATCGAAAATGTGTAGTGTCACCACTTTGGTTTTTTCAACTCAACCTGTCAACAAATTACTGCATGCAATGTTATAATTATCCAAATAATATAAAAAGTAAATTTGCAATAAATAAGTTACATTGATAAGTTAATTATATAAATATGGCAGTTGCTTTGCAACATGGAAAATTTTACCCAAATCAAATCTCGATATTTTCGGAACGGAAAGAGATATCGAGTTACGCTATTCGGAAGGTTCTTGGCCAACTCTTTGAGAATACGTACAGGGTTTGATCGGTATATTTCTTTTATTTATCCACTTATTCAGAGTGGGCAAAGAAAGTCAGGTTTTTTAGCAAAGTTTTTCTATGCATCTTATTGATCTTTGAACTATCCTAAAAAAGTGATACCTTAAATTGTTCGAAAGTTGGCTAGAACTCAAATTATCAAATGTTTAACTTCCCGCAATAAATGTCTTTCGGCTTGACTTCGTATTTTTTTATTTCCCTCTCCAAGCATCCTAACTACTTAGACCTCAAACTTGCAATTGCAACCTATACCACTCTGATGGTAGGGTCCTAGTTTGGTGGCAAGCTGGGTAACGATATGATGAAGGAAACAAGGCTGGCTCCACAAGAGACATTTGGTGGAGGTGGCATTACTATTTGGGCTGGGGTTAAGCACAATGGTCAATCCGAACTGAAAATATCGAGATTTGAATTTAGATAAAATTTTCCACGTCGCAAAGCAACTGTCCACCAGTTTATTTCAATATTATCTAGTGTAGTTTGTGTGAATCAATGATAAAAAGGATTTATTTATAAAAAAACATCAAAATAAATATAATATTTACTTTTGCTATTTATTCTGCGCTGCTGTGATATAATCAATCCATTGGATTTTCAATATAGGCAGTGTTAAAAACACCAGATAAATCAACTGTCTTTGTCACGGAAAAGACGAGAGCACATGAACATTTAAATGAGAGATTGAAGAAATATTGTTCATCAGTAAAACTAAACCATTTTGCACGAATATTTGTTTTCTCCACTCATTCTAAACAAATTCATTTAAAAAATGTAGATGTTGTCATATAATTATGGATCAACTTGTGGAGAGCGGCATATTTTCTAGGTAAGAAGCATATAGTTGCGTGAAATGTTTATAACTAACTTTTCCAGTTATTTAATATATCGGGACTACCCACTGCTTAGACTTACACTTAAAAACTCGCCGTGTATGCAGGATCCTAGCTCTGAGGAGTTGTCGGAAGTGTCAGGTTAAATTGCGGTGTTTTAACAGTGTTTACATTGAAACTGGAATGGATTGAGAATATCGCACCAGCATAGAAGCATGGCAAAAGTTAATATTTTTCTGTGTATTGCAAATACTTCCTGCTTGAATCTGCAAGTATCTGTTTTTTTTTTATAAAACCCAGTATTTATGATTGATGACAGGCAACCCTGTTCTAATATTATTAATCATTCATAAAAAATAAGTTTTATGAAAAACAGATACCTGCAGATTCAAGCGGCCGGATCTTGGACTAAGAAAGGTGTGTATATAGCGAATATGTCAAAGCACAGCGTTTCCAGGTGGGTCAGACAATTTCCCCAGAACAAACACAAAAAGCCATCAGAATTTCTACTTTCGCAAAAAAAAATCCCTCAGATCACAGTTAATGAATGTAAAGTGGCAGGTCTGGTACAAAAAGCGTAGAGATGCTCTCTATTCGCGAAACGTGTAATATCTTCCAAAATATTATATCCCAAAAAAATCTTCCAAATTTTGGGAAAAATCCCTCAACATGACAACCCTGTCAAAGCGCAACTGGTCCTGGAGGAGTCAAGTTTTAGGGTGGTTTTTACAGCACGAACATTGCCGTAGTTTCTCGTTGTATGTAGGCGCCATGGATTCAAGGTCGTAAAATAGAAATTAGAGAAGAACGCATTGAAATCTATAACATTCCAAGTCAATGAACGATTTCCCATACAATGAGAGAGTGTGTGAGGAAGGAATGTATCTTTAGTTTAATTTGTTATATATCTATTTTTACCATTGAAGTATGTGGAACGATGACAAAACTTCCCAAATATTCTCTGGAATTAACTTTTAGCTATATTTCTCAAAATAATATACCTACCTTCTTTTAACTTTAGCAGCATCCTCATCTTCAGTCCACGGACTACTTGACCTTTCATTTTCAGACTTCAGCTGTGGTTTCACCTCCTTTTTCTCTGGTTCAGTTGTGTTGTCTGACAAGGTTTCTTCTGTTAACTCCGTATCTTCCATTTGTGATTTTTCAATTGCTAACAGCATATCAAAGCCTGCAAAGAAACAATATTGATTCAAAAAGTAAACAGAAGATAAGAAAGGATTCTTAAATAAGCTCCACTCAAATAATGTTCAAAAAACATCAACTGCAATGTTTCTCTTAATCTTACAAAGGTTTTTATCAATGAAAAGCAGTTAAAAGTTACTAAAACGTATTTCAAAACACGTGTTTATGGAAACGTTTTTGAGGTTGAAACTATGGCAGCTGTGATAGATGCCGGGCAATCAGCTGACTGCTCTGTCCAATATATTCTTCTCTAAGCGTCGGTAGCATTTACAAGAATTCAATTTTCCCAGTAATATTCTACTGACTAGAGCCACAGAATAACTAACGCACCGTTTTCTGATACTGGCTATATGGATAATATTACTTATATAACTTTTTTGTACTTAAGCCTTCACGAAGGCCTAAGGGCTAAACACCCATTGGGTACCGTGGGGCTATAGGATGTTGCAGTTTCTTTTTATGTTCGACTAAAAATTAACTACATCTTGATAAAGTAAATTATTACAACGTTTTTTATAGCCGTTCTTGAAACACTGCTCATGGTCTAATAATTTTGTGGTAGAATCTCTTAATCTACTCTCCATCTTGTTGGAGGTAATTTTTTTATAACTTCTGTCGACCGTAGATAGGAGAGCTGAAGGTGACTTGGTACTATTTCCGGTGCTGTCGTGTAGGAATTCCGCGGCCCACTACCCGATTTTGTGAAATAGATTTTCTTTATTTTTTTATTCAATAAATGTCTGTGTGCCTTGTGAGTTTGTGTCTCCTAAGCTCCAGAGACCCAACCTTGTTTCTTGTTACTTCATTTCCTAGTTTTTGAAACTAGGTGGCGCCCAAACCGCAACCGCTTTGCATCCAAAAACCAAGGTCGCATACCTACACCGACTAACCCAGTTTTCGCGGGATAACAAGGGAAAGGAGTGACGCCACACCGAGTCTAGCGAGGGAACACGTGTGCAAGGAACGTGCACACATTCTGGCCCCGCCTGAGAGATCCGTCAAGTGGTACCTCCGCGTTGGACAGTCAGAAACCGTCTACCACCAATCAATTTCTGGCAAAGAGTGTAAGCTTTCTGACATTACAATCCACCATCTATCACAGGTAACCTGGAACAGTTGATCAATTCCATTGATCACTTCGGAGATAACATCACAACTGTCTCGATTTTTCGGGACAAAGTTTAAACTGCTACTTTCAAGCAACATTTTTCATAAAATAACTTGTTTTGCTTGAATCCTACATATAGTGCTTTAAGATAAAAACAAAAATATTGAATCTTCCATAACAGTAACTCGAAATTATAATGCTAACAGATATACCAAGCTTAATACAAATAGAGACTATTTCCGAGGAAAATAACTCACCATGATCTTCTTTATTATCTTCTTTCTTCTTTGTTCTTGAGTAGTCCCTTCTAGTTTTCCCAGTCTTATCGATTTTCACCTCCATGCTAAGCTCATCATATAGATCTTCAGAAAATTCTGGGGCTGTACTGGGCATTTCAAGACTATCTTGGGTATCCAAGTTGACAGGTTCTTTCTTTATTTCTGGCAATGTGTCTGAAGTCTCAGAAGACTCTTCAACTGAAGCTGTATCCTACAATCAAATACAACGAATAATAGGCCTTTTCACATGAGATCATTTTTGTTACTTAATAGCCTTTTTAGAAAAACATTTGATGTAATAAGAAAATTTTTCCCTATGTGTATAAATAAAATGATATTTTAAATAAAAAAAATCAGAGTCATTGGAAGAGTTGCAAATAAATGTGCTATAATTCATGTAGGGCTTGGGGTAGTTTTCACCCTTCTCGAGCCCTTTCGTTTTTGTTTTTTTTTGTAGATGTCTAACATTAGGGATTCTAGCAAAACACATGTGTTCCAAATTTCATTCAAATCAGATTATCAGTTCTAATAATATCTGAAAAAATGTGTTTTAAATAGAAAGCTTTAACGTTTTGAGGTAAATCATGTCCAATCGGCTTATTCTGAGTCTAAAAATACGTTGTAGTTCTATATCCACAAAACATTGGGTCACCCTGTATAATAATAGTAATCTATTCACATCAATTACAAATTGTAAATAAATTGAATGTTACAAAAGGACAATATCCTTGTAAGAGGATATCATTCTAATACATATAACATAGTATGATATGGTTAATTGAAAAGGTAATATAAGGAATTAAAGCAGAAAGATATAATATGGAAAAGTGCCTATTTGCCCCACTGGTTTGCTCAATAACGGCGTTCTAGAGTGACGACGTGGCCAACCAGCCACCTTCAGACTTCGCTAAAGCGTCATTTTCTGTTGATGTAAAATTGACGTGAAAGATTTGCCGTCACGAAAACATTAACGATAAACAATAAACTGAGCGTGTCTCAACATAGATTTTTGATTTTTATGTTTACGGTTTCACCTCGATGAATTCCTCACTTCATGCAATTACTAGTAATTTAGCAATTTTCATTTAAAAAAAATATTAGCCAAACATATTTTTAAAAGGCACTAACCTTGCTTTCAGTTGTATAGCTCTCCGTTTCGATTTCTGTCTTCTTTTCTTCCTCAACATCTAATTTTTCAGATTTAATCTCCTCTAAATTGTCGGGTTTAACAGATTGAACGATTTCTTCTATTTGTGTTTGATTAAACTCTTGACTATCTTCTTCGCTATCGGCTTCTTTGTGCTCTACTATTTCCACTGATCCTCGAGGCGCAGAAGGTTTATCAGGGTTAACTTCCTCCTTAAATGAAATACAGTTTTTGGCAATTTAACGAAAATGCACAGTAACACATCATAATCTCACTGAACAAGAGAAGGGTTGAATAAGGAAGTAATCTATATAAATAAATATGCAGTCAATCTTCAAGAAAATATCCAACCCTGTAATGCATTTGGACGTTCACACACATTCTGCATAGGCACCATCGAATTCAGACTAGGTAGAAGGAGCCAGTCAAGGATTTGTTTGTCTCATTCTCAACGTCTGTAGTGACGATCAAAGTACATTTACCATAAGTCAATTTGCGTGGTACGTAGTACATAATTTGAGAGCGGCACAAGTCATGATGGTAGATGGTTCCGCCGGTAAGTATTATTATTATTACGCTGATACAACGCTGTCATTTTGGTAGGCATCAGTAGACAAATGAGTCAAAAGTGGTTGGTGATCGTGTGATTCTTAGAGTGATTACAGGATTAAACACTGCCAAAATGGTAACTACAACGTTATTTTTAGATGTTCACTTCAAAAATCCTAAACAAAAGCTCGCTTATATACAGAGACTTCAAAAACTTCGATTACACTAACGTTCAGAATGATTTGGTTAATTTCCCATGGAATAATGATTTAAATATGATTTAAAGGACATTGATGAGAAAGTTTTTTTCATAAATGAGTATTTATTTTCGATAAGCATGCACTCTTAAAAATTATACGTGTGAATAAGTCTTATGCTCCATGGTTAACAAGAAGTGAAGCTTTAACACAACTCGGAACAATCATGACAACGTTATAAAACCTTACGAAATTCTGCTTTGGCAAAGATAAGATCAGAAAAAGCAGCATATCTGTCATTTAACCCTACGGTACCCAATGGGTGCTTAGGCCTTAGGCCTTCGTGGTAGTTAGAGTATACAAAAAAAATTTCTCAGCACATAAAATCATTATTCTGCTTTATATAAAACTTTAAAGGCAATGTAATAATACAAATTCCTGTACAGGAACAATTCATTTTTACGAGACAAATTATTATACTCATAATAGATTTAATTTTAAGCCGAAAGATTTTCAAGATTATTCACACAATATTTAAATCTCTAAAATCAAATGACTTGGGGATTGATAGAATATCTCTTAGGATGTTGAAACGCTACACATTTTTTCATGTCACATTCTTACAGCTAAAAATATTAATCTCACTTCTTATTCTGATTTAAGACCCATAAGAATCCTACCCATATAATCAAAATTATTAGAGAAAGTGTATATACAGATAAATGATTACATTGTACATTCTGAAATACTATCAGCTAAGCAATGCGGATTCAGGAAAGGGTACAATACTGCAGAAGCGTTATTGGACTTATCTTTAGCTTAGATTTTACCAAAGCATTTGACAAGATAAATCATACAATTTTATTAACTAAATTTAGATATTACGGTTTTTCTGACTCTTCAATTGGCATGATCGATAACTTCATAAGAAACAGATCTCAACAAGTTGTTATTGATATCAACTCATCGCCAGAAACTTTAACCACTGGACCACTTCTTTTTATTCTTTACATAGCTGATCTGTAAAAAGTGGTAACATATTGCAGTATACAATTCTTTGCAATTATACAAAAATTTGAATAATGACAAAATTATGGTTACAGAATCTCAAATAAATGAGGATTTAATGGATATTGATAATTACGCACAAAGTCATAACCTTCGATTAAATCCTACAAAATCGGGAAGTTATCATATATCATCATAAAAAAATAAGGAAATCTATTAAAAGATATATAAACATATCTCTCTGGATGGCGAAATTATTCAAGTGCATGAACCAGTTAAAACACTTGGGCATATTTCTTGACGAGTGTCTAAATTTCATTCCACATGTGAATCATAATGCTTAAAGTTGTATTTCAGTACTTCGCCAGTTATACCTCAATAAACAAATTTTAAACTACAAAACTAATAAAATTCTATGCGAATATAGGAATAATTGATCGTTTCAAAAATTACACATTGCGATATTGTTTAACTTCCATTTTTAAATTCGGTATCTACAAAACGCTTGGAAAACATTCAAAATTCTTGGTGTAGATTAGTAGAAAGCTTGAACAAATACTACCATAGAGGAATGTTATATTATATAAAAAACACTTACTAAGTTATGTTCACAAACTCCAAATTATCTCATTACCTCCGTGTTTAGAGGAAAATCTAATAAATCGTATGTGTGTTGATTCTAGAGATATCCGCTTCCCAAATACCCTCGCCATGCATATCCACAGAACTTCATTTTTCCATAAAGGCTCCGCTTTTAATGCGATCTATCTATATAATTCATTACCCCATGTAAAGGGTGTTCAGATAGGGACGCTCGATGTTTGAACGGCGCGCGCGCCCAAACCGGTGGGGATACAGCTGTCAAATTTTGTGAGGTTATTAAGTTAGTCTTGACGTTTAATCATGGAGCAGTACACGATTCAACAACGCGTGGAAATTGTGAAAATTTATCATCAAAACAGATGTTCGATTCGTGAAACGTTCCGCGCATTGCGTCCAATTTATGGTGCGCATGGCCGTCCTGCTGAGTCCACTATTCGACGTCTGCTCAATAAATTTGAGAGAACTGGCTCAGTGGCAGACCAAACAACACCCGTACGGCAACGAACAGTAAGAACAATCGAGAATATTGCTGCTGTGCGAGAGAGCGTGCGTCAAGACCCGAATCAGTCATTGCGGCGACGTGCACAAAAACTTGCTCTTCCAAAGACCTCAACATGGACAATTATGCGTCGAGACTTGAAATTGCACGCGTACAAAATTCAATTGACGCAAGAATTGAAACCGCAAGACCATGGACAGCGCCGTAGATTTGCCGCATGGGCTCTAGAGCAGTTGCAAGTCGACCCAGCATTTGCACGAAAAATCATCTTCAGCGACGAGGCGCATTTCTGGATGAATGGGTATGTCAATAAACAGAATTGCCGTATATGGGCTGACCAAAATCCTGAAGTGACTTGCTCAATTGCTATGCATCCTGCTAAAGTGACTGTATGGTGCGGTTTCTGGGCTGGCGGCGTAATCGGTCCATATTTTTTTGAGGACGGTATGGGCAACGCGCTTACGGTCAATGGAGATCGGTATCGCGCCATGATTAATGATTTCCTGTGGCCTCAACTGGACGATATGGATCTAACAGACATCTGGTTCCAGCAGGACGGCGCTACGTGCCACACCGCACGCGCAACGCTGGATTTACTGCATGAAAAGTTCAACGGTTTCATGATTTCGCGCGGCGGCGATGTGCACTGGCCACCAAGATCGTGCGATATAACGCCTTTAGACTTTTTCCTGTGGGGCTACGTGAAGTCTCAAGTGTATGCGGATAAGCCACAAACAATTGCAGCATTAAGGGCCAACATCATTCGCGTCCTCGGACAGGTAGACGCTGAAATGTGCGGAAAAGTGCTCGAAAATTGGACCATGCGAATGCACGCTGTACAGTCGCGGTGGCCATTTAAACGATATAATCTTCCATACATAATGTCGAATGCTATTTACGATCAATATAGACTTTTAGTGCTGACTTAATTTTTTTTCCTTTTTTTTTCCATTTTAACTTTCGAGCGTCCTTATCTGAACACCCTTTAATTAAAGCTTTGATATTTAATAACTAAAGTATATCAAAAATCTGCTTTTACAGTGCCCAAATTTAAAAATACATATCTTTCACTTCTGCTAATAAAATAGTATTTATTCAGTTATCAGAGTAGTTACTTTGAATATGTATAATACTTTTGTTATATTATGAGTCTTATTGTCATTTATCTATTTAATCCATGTTTGTATTTATTTTTGTATGGGTTAAGTGAAGGAATAGCTTAAGCTAAACGTCGCCCCAATAAAAAGACGTTTATTATTATCTACCAATAAACTCACCTCCTTATTGTCATTTTGCTCTTCTACCTTCACCTTTATCTGAATGACACTATCATCTGAAACACTCTGTTCACTAGGTATGGTCTCAGTAACAGGCTCTTCTTTGATTAATACTGGTTCCTCAGTTTCAATTGTTGGCTGAACGGTTTCAGCCGACTTTGGTTGCAACTCTTCTTCCTTAGGCTGCTGAGGTTGTAGTTGAGGTGATGGTTGAGGTTGAGGTTGGGATTGAACTCGTGAAGATGCCTCTTGCTGATAATGAGGAACGTACTGCTTATTCTCCTGGAAAGTAAAAAGTTGCTTTGTTTTGTTGTTTTTTTCGGAGGGCTCGTGCCCGAATGTTCGTGTATATGAGCTTGGCGTGCGAGTGCTTTGTTATTGTTTTTGATTTGGTTTCTTTATCTAAAATAGTGAAAGATAAACTTCGGACAAAAAGACATTCCTCATCTAATATAAAAAACCAAAATTAGAGATTTTAGTGGGATACAAATGAGTTTTTTTGATAACAGATTAAATAATTTTACATCGTCAAATTGTTTATTTTAGTACTTGGTTACCCCATTGACATTTACTTTCCTCACCATCCCTTTCTTAGGAGTGCAATCAAGGTAGTAATGTTCTTCTCGACATAAACAATGTAGCAGATATCACAAATTTTATTTCCATTTCTAAACAGAAACACAATAACTACATTCGTTGAAATCGCTGGTTTGACGTAAATACGGCGCAGATATTTCTGATGTTGAAAGAAATACCTCTCAGCGACGGATTTCGTGCTTTGAATATAGAGAAAATATTTTCATGTGTTTGTGTGGAGATCATGTCTACACTTGAAAAAATTTTAAACCCATACAAACGAAATTGTGCCGCACGCTACAATGTAAATGTTTGCTAATCTGAACGCGACTTTGAAAGTTAATAAAAGAACTTACGAACAAAAAAAACCTCAGTTAAACGATAACATCGGAAACATCGACACTGAACAAGTTGCCCTGCCACACACATCACTATACAGGGTGTCCCAGGCGACTTAAAGCCGAAAATTACACGATTTGTTTGTTTGTATTTATTTTTTTGTATTTTTGTGATAACTATTATGACTTGGTCTATCATCCGTTTCCGGCTTGGCGTCGACTTTTGGGACATCTTGTATGTACTTGGTACAAATGTTCGAGTTTTGATCAATTACGTTAAAATTGTAAGGTTTTAATAAGTTTTACTTTTGAGAGACAATATCTAGTATACCAGCTTATATTACGGAGTCTTATAGCTTTTCATATGTTTCACTCCTTAAAATGCTGAGTGTTACGGGAATTACTCTTGCGCGCAAAATAATTTCATATGAAAATATTTTCGAACAGTATTGTTCAAGATGCTCACCTGTTTTCCACTCGCAGATTTCATGGCCTGTGGCGATTCGAAAATGACGGGATCCTCACTGAACTCAAACGGATCTATCACAGGTGGCTTCTCCACTTTTTTCTCCTCCTGCTTCTTGGGCTCCTCTTTAACAGCTGGAGGCACCGCGGGCTCTTGCGGAGGTGGTTCAGGCTCGGAGGATACCTCAACAGGTGGAGGAGGAGGAGGGGCAGGTACAGCTACCATCGCCTCTTCCTCTTGGATCTCTTCCTCCAGGTCTTCCATTTGATCTAAATTGATGCTGATATCGCCGTTCCCGTCTAGCTGCAAGTGCTGCTCTGGATCGTCAACTATATCCTGGTTGCAAATATAGAAGTATAAAAACGTTGTATTTGATAGTTTTGCTGGGGTGCGCTTGTATATCACTTGGTAATGTAATACCCTACACCAGGAGTTCCCAACCAGCGGGGCGCGCCTCCCAAGGGGGGCATAGAGATATGTCAAGGGGGGCGAAAAGCGTTTGCATTTTACAAAGAAAAAACAAAAAAATAAACAAACAACATTAACAAATAACATTACAATGTAATGTTTAATTTACACGCATAAAATTAGAAATTATATATCAAATTCACTTATTCTATCAACCGCTGTTTCAAAACCCGGCGTTGTCAATCGCAATTCATACAAATTTCGACAAGTCACACCATGAAATCCACGCGCACCCCCGCCGCGCTCCGCTTAACATTCATCACTGAGAAAACAATTGTGTACCTATCAGACGCAGATGATCATCTTTGACATTCATTCCGACAAACTTGCGAAAAATTTGACGTTTCGATGTACATGTTTAGTTTAGAAACCTGTTTGAGTGTGTCAAATTATTGTGTCTCACTGTTAAAAGGTAAGTTTGTGGATTCACAAACTTCAGTTACCATTTGCGCGTTCATAGATCGGCCATTGGTACTTTTTTACCACATAACAGTCAAGCTAAGTGTTTTTTGTTAAAAAAATATTACTTTGCATTGTGTTTTTTCGATTTTTTCACAGAGTTAAATTTATGCCTGAGTGATATTTGACAATTTCATGAGTAACAGATTACTGGTGTCCTAGGAGACCATAATTACCTGTTATCAAAGGTATTGTAATTTTTGGTCTCAACAGCTGTCATGTTTTGCCGTGGGTAACCTCGAAAAGACTGCCGACAGGTGTTGTCATACAATTATTCTATATAGAAACTATTTGTAAATCAAAATTTCGCGTTTCTTATTGGTAGAAATTAAGACGAGGAAAATAGTCAATAAAATCTTTGCGTTAGGCAAAAGAAAAGCCGTTTACGGAGAAACAAATGAAAAGGCGAAGGAACGGGCAATGTGGAACGAAAACTGGAAAAAGATCATTTTTAGCAATGAACCGAAGTTTGATGTTTGTGTCAGTAACCACCGATGCAGGGTTATAAGAAACAAAAATGAGGCGTTTGATAAAAACTGCCTAAAGAGAAAAGTAAAGTTTCCACGAGGCTTAATAATATGGGGAAGCATATCTGATGTTGGCGTTGAAAAGCTTCAGTTCATAGTCATCAGTAGTCCTGATGCAAATATTACCGAAACTGTATTGCACGAAATGAAGCAGCAGTTAAGAGATGATCCACGCATATGGGATTCTTTTAAGGCGGAAGACTGCGAAAACCGTGTTAAAACTATGCAAGCCATAATTAATGCTGTTATTAAGGCTATTGAAATGGTTCGTCCGAACATTTGTGTGCCAGCCAACCATTGTTGTTTCAATACTACTTTAGTTTTATAGTTGAATATAATATTACTTGATAATAATTTTATTAATGACAAACAATGTCTTATAAAAGAAAAAAAATATATTGTAACCTTAAAAAGATAAACAAACTTTAAGATAAAATTAGATAATGTCCGAACTATTTTGTGTTAGGGCTCGTAGTGTTAAAATTCCTTCAAAATTCAATTAACCTTACCACTTCTATGGATTACTCCGTCGCGACTGGAACAATTTTCTTTCTTGTGATATATTAACCTTGAACACATCTCAAATTCGAACTTTTTACTTCCTATTCCAAAACTGGCGAGGAAGTATGCAATCGCGAAACATTTCGAAATTGAGATACTATGTTTGTTGGATGTTATATGATATATAATATATATGTACATCATGAAATTTTTTCCGTCTGTCTGTCTGTCTGTCGGTCTGTCTGCTAATTTTGTAACCGCCTATAACTTGAGAAGTACCTCTTGGATTTTGATGAAATTTTCACACAAGGTTACTACTATGCCAAGAATGAAAAAGCTTTGTAGTTTTTGAAAATCGGTCCAATGGTCGAGGAGCTAGGGGCAAAATCACTAGACAAATAAAAACCGCTCACACTTCGTTTTTTGATGTTTCAGAGGCTCGTGATCATTTTCAGAATTTTTTTTGTAGGGGTTGAAAATCGGGGATTGGGGATTGTAGGAGGGGTTGGGGAAAGGTATATATTATTGTTACTTAGCAACGTATTTTTTAGATGTTTTTCGGAAAAAATAGATTATGTTACTTATGAATAAATATGCCATAATGTCCCTTAAATGCCACCTATGTACTCGTACCTTATAAAAATGTAAACCAGACTTATGAATCCACCGACGGCACGTTTCTCGTGAAACGTTTCCTGCTGTTTCTTCATTCCACTATGCTATTATGTCCCATACTTTTTACCATATCTGCCACCGTAATCTTTGCCACATTTACTTGTTTAGCAATATCCCAAAAACTCTTTCCTTTATGAAACAATTGTATGATTAAACCTCCGTTTGCACTGTTTGTTGCTTTACCGCGTGACATTTTAAAGCAAACTGATTCACAGAATCGATTCTTAAATCAAAACGTCAAATTGTAAACACTTTTTTATTCCCATGGCCTGCTATTATTTTCTTTTTAATATCGTGTCCGAACATTTATATGTCAGCAAAATGTTGCGTTGTTATCAATATTATTTTGATTTTATATTTCAATATCATATTACTTTTTTTTTTGTTAATATGATGTGCAAACAATATACTTCAGTGTCTTATAAAAGAAAAACAATTAATTTTTTACCTTATAAAAATAAACTTTTAGGTAAAATTAGATAATGTCCACACACTGTTCGGCATTCTGAAAATTTTTGTCGCTCTTGGAAATGTTTTCGGGTTTTTTACGTCTACTGTGTTGTACTGAAACATAATATGCAGTCAGTTTCTCCCCATCACCCACAGGTTTTTAGAGAAGGGAGAATATAAAATATGAATATTTTGGCCCTTAAAAAATTCTCGTATTTGAGGCCCAACGCAAATTCCTTCTTTAAGCTTTGCTTCACTTATACGCGGAAATTTCGGTCTCAAATAAAGGAATTCCTTCTCTATACGGAGCGAAGCATGCAAGTGGTAGCAGTTAGTTGCGCTGTTGAATAAGTGCCTCTTTATGTGACTAAAAGTTCACCGTTTTTTGTGGAAGTTTGCACATAAGTGGATCGAGTATTGTTGGATTACCTGTTCTTAGTTCAACAGTGAGTTCAATCCGCTTCCTTGATTTTTATTAAGATAACGTTTCGGGATTCGCACATTCCTGGCTGACGTATTTTTGCTGTATTCCATAGGCGTACGATTCTATTATAATGGATAGAGGGAAATGTTGATGTTGTCACAAGATCTTCGAACAACACCTATTAGTTTGCTGTTGTGTTTGCCAAAAAACATTTTACCATGTCTGCGTTAATCTAACGGCTTCTGAAACACGTCTTATTAGCAGCAAGAAATCTGTGAATTGGACCTGTGTTGATTGCGAAAAAATGGGAAACAATATAACTTCCCTCAAAGCAGCTATCGTTGTGTTGCAGAATGATTTAAAAGCTATATCTTCTGCGGGTCAGACCAGCGCAGCAACACAGTTTGAGTTTGAAGACGTCGTTCATGAGGTTATGGACAGACAAAATCGCAAAGCCAATTTGATGATTTTTGGGCTAAAGGAACAGGATCATACTGCGAAGGAAAATCGTATACAAGCTGAAAAACCGGAGGTTTTAAAAATACTAACTTTCGTTTCACCCACACTAACATCTGTAAAAGATCATAGAAGGTTGGGCAAATTTACCAGGGAAAGAACTCAACCCAGACCGATCAAAGTGAGTCTAGAAGGCAGTGATCAGGTTCTGGAATTGACAAAGAAGTCAGCCAAGCTGAAAAATTCTGCTTTTAAAAGTATTTCGCTATCATTTGATAAGACTCCAAAGCAGAATGAATATTATAAGAAATTGAAAAATGAATTAGAACTTCGTCGAAACAATGGTGAAGCCAACATTCGTATCAAACATATCAATGGATTACCAAAGATTGTGAATTTTTAAGCCCTCCACCCAATAAACCCTTTGACACCACCTGTTATTACCAAAATGTTAATGGTCTAAACCCAAAAACAACATTTTATAACTCAGTATTGTCTCGGGATGAAGTTTTCAATCGTGAATGCAGCGAGATGTGGTGGAGTTTTGATAGCAGTTTGTATTTTGAAGTGATAGACGTAAGTAGTGTTGTCTCTTTTACTCCCGGTATTGATATTGTCGGTGGAAAGTTGATTTTTGGTTGTAACTCGATATATATATATATTTGTTGTTTATATTCCTCCTAGCACAAATACAGTTGATTTCGAATATTTTCTAGACCAGCTACTATTATTGGACCTCTTAGCTGATAATCATGTAGTACTAATAGGTGATTTTAACGTTCCTGCATTTGTAGAAGATCGGAATGCACCGAAACATAACATTTTGAAATTTTTTTTGGAAGTATCGGACCTTAATGAATACTGTCAGAAATACAAATGATCGGTTATTGGATTTAGTACTGAGCAATACAAATTACCAGACTCATCGAGATGTTTCTCCGCTGGTTGGGGAGGATCGACACCACCCTTCATTAACGATTCAATATTCTATAATGAATCAACATATAGCTAACTTTGAACCTAATCGTAATGTTCGTCTGTTTAACTTGCTTAAAGCCAATTTTCCTCTCATGTACTAACTTGTTTCACACATGTGCTGGAATAATATTCTTGCCTGTACTGATGTTAATGATGCTGTTCAGCAACTTGAAAACAATCTGAAAAGTATTTTTGAAGTGTCGGTTCCTTATAAAACCTCTAATTATCGTGAGTACCCACCATGGTTTTCTAGAGAAACAATAAAAGAGGTTCGACAAAAAGAGGCAGCACATAAGTTGTAAAAAAAACATAGGACAGGTTTTTATTATGACCGATTTGCTAACCTGAGATCTTCTGTAAAGATAAAAATAAATAGAGACTATCGTAATTTTATCAAA